GTAAAGCTCAAGCCAGCGAGGACTAAGGGAGAAAGGCACACGCAAAAGAAAAGCTTTCTGAGGAGATACATGCATCTAGGTTATTCAAACCATGGGAGACTTGGGAGAAACCCAGGGGGAGGGCTAACCAAGTTATGCACTGTAATTGTGTGATGTTAGAAGATGTTATTCAACACAGACAAGTGAAAGGGAATGCACAGTGGGAGGAACAATTAAACTATTCACACACCCTGATGGCTTCTGAATTAATTGTAGCCTCTCAGGAAAATAATACCGACTTCGCTGTGGACAACTTGATGAAGATGTCAGCAGCAATTAAGAAAAGGAGCACGTTGCTAAGGTGCATTAATATGGATATTGCAGGCTGTACAGGAAGGAAGGAGTATCAGTAGGGTGATCTTAAGGTTCCCCCTCCCCTGACGGTCTGCTGTTATTAAGATTACTGCTGCGGATCCAGATCTGTCCTGAGAAGTCCTCTTGCTTTGGTTCGGTACTTGCCTCCTAATGGATGGGGGTGGAAGTGGGCAAAGTTCATTAAGGATGCAATTAGCGGCAATAGGAAACTGTTCAATCTTTCCCCCCTTCCATTCATTAGGAATAACAGAGAGATAGTGACACCTACTCCTGGGAAGAGGGCCAGAGCACCAGCTCTGAACTTTTGATTTTCAGGCTGTGGACTATTTGACACACTTTTCCAGGCCGCATTCAAACCTTACCTTTAAAGTGCTAGGAAAGCACTTTAAACAGTCACAACGTCCTCCAAAGAATTCTGGGAGCTGTAGTTTGTTAATGGTGCTGAGAGTGGTTAGGGTGCCCCTATCCCCCTCACAAAGGGATGCGGGTGGTGCTGTGGGTTAAACCACAGAGCCTAGGGCTTGCTGATCAGAAGGTCGGCGGTTCGAATCCCCGCGAAGGGGTGAGCTCCTGTTGCTCGGTCCCTGCTCCTGCCAACCTAGCAGTTCCAAAGCACGTCAAAGTGCAAGTAGATAAATAGGTACCACTCCAGTGGGAAGGTAAACACCATTTCCGTGCACTGCTCTGGTTCGCCAGAAGCGGCTTAGTCATGCTGGCCACATGACCCGGAAGCTGTACACCAGCTCCCTCGGCCAGTAAAGCGAGATGAGCACCGCAACCCCAGAGTCATCCACGACTGGACCTAATGGTCAGGGGTCCCTCTACCTTTTATCCCCCTCACAGAGCCACAGTTCTCAGAATTCCCTGTGAAGAGTGATTGATGGTCAAACCACTTTGAGAACTGTAGCTCTGTGAGGGGGATAGGGAACAACTCTCAGCACTCTGGGCAAACTACACCTCCCAGAATTCTTTGGGGGAAGCCATGTCTGTTTAAAGTGGTATTGTAGTGTTTTAAATGGGACCCCACTTGGTGTTGTTCTTCCTGTGTGCAGCCCCTCCTTCCTCCATGCACATAGCACCATGTGTTATGTGGAAACCTTAAAAAGTGGGGGGCAGAGGGAGAAGGGAAACATAACAATGGTGATGTTTTGCAGCTGGGGGACAAAACATGTGGCCTGCCATCCCTTTCCACCAAACGTGCCCTCTACATAGGAAAAACATGTGGAAAAGTAATGTTGTGTGTTGGCAGGTATGTTCCTGCTTGCCTCTGCGACGGGAGGATGATTGGCAGCTGGCAATGCATGTGAATCAGCCTGTGTTGAGGACTGAGGTTGATGTAAAATTCTTCTCTCATTTTCTTCTGATCTGGTAAAATTGGAGGTGCAATAAGTTGCTGGTATTTTTTTGTTTGTTTGTCTGCTTCTCTCTTTCTCATTGAAAGATGCCATACATGCCAAGCACCAGCTCATGCGTCCAAAGAAACTATCCTTTACCTTGAACCTGCCATTGCTCGGGGAAATGGGAAGCAATTACTTTCAGGGCTGACAATCTCTCTGTCAGGTCTTCACATCAGGCTCAGCTTTACCTCCAAGAAGTGGGATAGCGTCCTCATTATCAGTGCCCCTTCATGCTCCCCGCACAAGGGATGCCCTTTCAGAAGAAAGAGAAATGGCAATTCAATGAGCCCACTCCACGTAATGAGCACACAGCACCTGAGCCCTGAGCTGACCATGACTCTTCAGCAGGTGCAGTAGAAATGTACTGACCTACGCTATCGAATCATATATTTATGGGGGACACACCAAAGCACCACCATCTTCTCATGCTGCATGTGAGAAGCTCAGGCTAACAACCCAGCTGAGATGCGATCTAAACTAATGAGTGCACAGCATATAATTTTTAATGGATTGCAAACAAATCTACGGCACAACTACTTTTGGAGCACGGAGTTCAAGGTGGCATGCATAATGCTCAATCCTGTTGTATCATTGCAACCTGTGGATTAAAGGTAAAGGGACCCCTGATCATTAGGTCCAGTCATGGCTGACTCTGGGGTTGTGGCACTCATCTCGCTTTATCGGCCGAGGGACCCGGTGTACAGCTTCCAGGAGGTCATGTGGCCAGCTTGACTAAGCCACTTCTGGCGAACCAGAGCAGCACACAGAAACGCCGTTTACCTTCCCGCTGGAGCGGTACCTATTTATCTACTTGCACTTTGACATGCTTTGGAACTGCTAGGTTGGTAGGAGCAGGGACCGAGCAACGGGAGCTCACCCTGTCTCGGGTATTTGAACCGCTGACCTTCTGATCGGCAAGTCCTAGGCTCTGTGGTTTAACCCACAGTGCCACCCGCGTCCCAACCTGTGGATTAGGTTAGGCTAAAAGTGGGCACACTTTTGGACAACTAAAAAAGAAGAAGAAATGCATCATCAACACCCCTCCCCCAAGGAGGACATGAATTGCAGGGCACAGATTTGCATTAAAAATACAAGTGTTAATGGACATGTATGGATGCATATTTAAAAATAATCGCCATAATTTGCATGGAAATGCAGTACAATTGCACCACAGTGAGAAATAAGACTGCGACCAAGAGCGCTTCCAGACTGTTGCTATTTTCAGGTGGGATTCAATCACAAACCAGAAAATTCAGGTTCTATAATTGCATTTGATTTCAGGCAGTAAAAGCTGTTCGACAGTGGGATGGACTCCCTCAGGAAGTGGTGGACTCTCCTTGGATGTTTTTAAGCAGAAGTTGAATAGGCACCTGTCATGTAAACAGTGGTACTTTGGTTTATGAATTTAATCCGTTCCGGAAGTCTGTTCTTAAACCAAAACCATTCTTAAACCGAGGCGTGCTTTCCCTAATGAGGGCTCCTGCTGCCAGTGTCCTTTCACCATTCAGATTCCGTTCTTAGACTGAGGTAAAGTTCTCAAACCAAGACACTATTTCTGGTTTTGTGGAGTTTGTAAACCAAATCATTCTTAAACCGGACTGTTCTTAAACCGAGGTACCACTGTAATTTAGTTGAGATTCCCGCATTGCAGGGGTTGGACTAAATGACCCTCGAGGTCCCTTCCAACTCTACAATTCTATTATTCTATGATATTGCACCACAAATCTACTTCCCACCAAAAGTTGACTTTTGTGATAAGGGAAGTGGTGGAGTAAATGCACTGGGAAGTGTGTGTGGGGGGGTAACATTTGCTTGCTGCAGCATCATCTAATCTCCCCACAAATGCACCAGAATAATTGCTTAGTAAATAGCTTATGATGTCGAGCCAGCCTGCAAACTTTGGGCTGATGTATCAGAATGAATGTTCAATAAACAAATCCTCCCGAAGCGACCCAGATGAGCAGAGGAAGCAACCCAATCTGCTGTCCAGGTGCTAACTCTTTGTGGCTAACTGTAGAGTTGCAAGGGACTCTAAAAGTCATCTAGTCCAACCAGCAGCAATGCAGGAATCTTTAACTGGGACTTGGAGTAGACAGCCCTTGAAACAGAGCTAAGTCCTCACTATAAAGTAGGGCAGACACCCACCCTACAAAACAGAGAGTGCAGAATGCTCAGAGGATGCCTCCACCAGCCCTTTCCTACTCAACCTGCTTGCTTTCAATTTTCCTCTTTAGATGCTCCATCTAAGTGGATCTCAGGAAGCATCTCAGGCATTCTGAGCACATTCGTGGCACACTCCAGAGGGAATTCTAGCATTACAGTATCACTCAGAGCCATCCAGCAGAGAGAGAAGAGCTATTTCCTCCCACAGAGGTTTATTTCATTACAGCTTGAGCTCAGCTGCTTTCTGCTTTGCATCCTCATTCGATTCTGCCTCTTTCCTCCCCCTGGCCCAGCACATATGTTTGTGCTCCTGACTCCGTCCTGAATATGCCACCTTTACCCATAATGCTTTTCTGTCTGTGTCCACAGGGGAAAGCTCTGTATTTATCTCTGCTGTGTTCAGGGGAAAGGACCTCTCTGACTCCTTGCTCCGCTCTCGCCTCCAAATGAGATTCTCCGCTTCTCTCAGGAAAACTCCCCAAACAACTCTGGGGAATATGTCTATCTTTTGCGCAAAGTGTGAATTTAGCAGTCAAGAAACTGCCTGGCACATTTTGAGACCGGCTCGATGGAACAAGCCAAGGAAGAAACTGCCACCATTTCTAGGCAATTCATCATTACGGGGATTTTTTCAAGAAAAGTGCTGCGGATTTCCCACAGAATGAAAGAAACTTCCTGCAAAAAACCCCAAAAGGATAATGAGTTCATACATTAGATATCTTGCATGGAGACTGATACAATAAAGACTGCATATATTTGCTTTGGATCAGTGCAGATGGGTCACCTTTATGCAAGGCAGCAGGAACAAATAGAGCATTGCACCAAATGCATTCATAGAATGGAGAGTTAAAACTTTAGGCTTAATACCTTTCCAAGCTATTCCTGATTCCTGGGGGGTTAGACTGCTGTCTCTGTAATGCACTCTCAGATAATGAGCATATATGCATGAAGCAGAAACACAGTAAATCAATGTCAAAAAATGTAAAAAATAAAGGAAAAATATTACAATATTAACCAATAAATACCTTGTGTGGGTGAAATGCATTATATTACAGTATATATCGTATATGAATGAATGTATTTTGGGAAGGGTTTCAGCTCAGTGGTAGAGCACCTGCTTGGCAGGCAAAAGGTGCAAGTTTCAATCCCTGGCATCTTCAGGGGATTGGAGAGCTACTGATAGTCAGTGCAGGCTATACTGAGGTAGATGGACCAACAGTCTGATTCACGCTTCCAGGTGCATAGCAGGCAACCTGCCTGCCTTTCTGGGCTTACAGGAATGCCCATCTGGAAATTTTAGGAAGTGCAGACACCCAGGAAGGCTACATAGTTCAGAACACCAGAAACATAGGCACCAACTCCTAGGGTCCTGGTCCCTTTGGTCCCTCCAATTATAAATTTTGTGGGGTAGTGGCCTCAATATTGATGACAATCAGGGGTGGAGGAGGCTGATCGCACAGTCGATCATGGTGAGGCATGGTTTCAGCAGGTGATGGCTCCTGCTGCTGCTGCAGAGGGGAAGGAATGGGGAAGCAGCCCTGGGCCGATGGCAGCAGCTGCAGGAGGAGACCGAGAGCACCCAAGAGGAGGAGCCACCAGCCATTGAAGCGGTGCTACCACATTCGGCTCCTCCCAGCATTCCTGCAAGGGGTATGTGTGTGGCATCAGACCCCCTCCAATCATCTTCTCAAGTTGGCGTCTCTGAAGCAGAAAGATGATTTCTAGAATGAATGAAATGACATTCGCAAACACTACCTGATCACTTTGAAAGCAAGGTAAACGCACTAAAAACCCCAACCATGGCAATTTCCCCAAATGTTTCTCTTCCTTCTGAATACAGTTCCTTTTCTGGTCAGTTGTTGGATAAAGCTATAGCTATAGATTTATAGGGGACAACACTAGCACACATATAGTTGTGTGCACATCAGGCTTCTTTTCACTAATCCCAAAAGCGTGGTCACTGGGAATGCATGGCTGGTCAGTGGGCATGTTGGCGGTGGGGGACATAGCAAGGGGACATGGTCCGGCTTCCCAGCACCCATTCATCCAAAGCACGAGAGAGGACAGGACAGTATACCAGTTCTAAAACACTGGAGAAAGCAGGTTATAGCATGCCTGGATAGCTCACTTGGTTAGAGCAGGGTTCTGATAATGCCAAGGTTGCAGGTTCGATCCCCATATGGGACAACTGCATATTCCAGCATTGCGGGGGGTTGCACTGACTAGATGATCCTCAGGGTATCTTCTAAGTCTATAGTTCTAAGATTCTATGGTTGTCTTCAGCTAAGCCCTACTCAGAGTAGACCCACTGAAATTAACAAACCTAACTTTAGTCCATTAACTTCAATGGGTGTACTCTGAATAGGATTTAGCTTGAGACAATCCAATTTTTTTCCAGCGTCCACTTTTTTCTTCTTTAGCTTTTGCTAATGTTGTTGGTGCATGCTTAGTGTTGTTTGGAAATGACAAGGGGCAAGGAGTAGTTAATATGTTATTGCTACTACACTGCCGTGATTTTCTTTTTTAAAGTATTCTGTAAAACATCTGCAACTCACACCCTCAAGTTTCACAGAGTTCTGCTCTGCAAAAGAGCACAGGGCTCCTGTACTTTGTATACTCGTGCAGAAAATAGAATTTTGGCAGGTACGTACAGTACCTTGTGACACAGGGAGGTGAGCTGCAGCTGCTGGGTGTTCTTTATTCTATATACCTATTAAAGGTGGAAGAGCCTTGCTTTGGCAATGATTGCTCATTTGTTGACAGCAGTAAAAGATGTCAATTGCTTGAGAGAATTTAACACATTGCCTCTTCTATAATGAATTGGCTAGTTTAGCGTATAGGACATTGTCTAAATGCTAAAATTGACTGGTAATTATATATGTATGCATAAAGGATGACAGGTAACCTTTTAAGGCAAGAAAATGAACATTGCTTTTGATGTTTTGGAACAGCAAATTGCAAGATAATCTAAAACCAGATGCTGTCTTGAAAAGTCTCTTGTTTGTAATAGGATAACTTTATAATAAGAAGAAGTACTGGATAGAAAAAAATATAAAGTGAAAGGAGGAGTATTTTGTGTAAACCGGTAACATTCATTTTTAGAAAGATAGATGTAAGTACAATTTCACTTATATAGGTATTTTTCTACAATGTATTTATGGGGTGAGAGAGAGAGATGGAAAATTGAGATATTACTTAGATTTTAATCTATGTAGATCAGAGATGGGAAATGGAGGTTTTCCAGATGTTGGGAGACTCCAGCCAGCAAAGCCAGTAGTCCAACAACATCTGGATTCCCCATCCCTGACATAGATTTCTATAATTCTAATGTATATGTTTCAGTTCAAGTTAGTTTACTTTTATTTATAATTCTATTTTTATATTTTCATTGATGGGTGTGAACCTCCAAATAATAACACTGAGAGGCAACTCAGCCTTTAAAAATTAAACCCTATCCATTCGAATATTCCTTGGTAAAGCTTATGGCATTCTCTCCCTTTCCACAAATACCTTGGTAACTCTGTATACATGTGGGTAGGTTTAAAGACCTAGTGTGGATGTGCACTGGGAAGGTTGAAAAACTGTGTGCACACATGTCTCTCTCTCTCTCTCTCTCTCTCTCTCTCTCTCTCTGTGTGTGTGTGTGTGAAATTTGCATCAGTTTACAAAATTATAGGTATTTGGTTGCTGGCTCTTCTGCCTTTAATAGCGATATGCTCTGAAAAATCATTCAGCAGCTGACACATCATGCAGATGAATGCTATCCCATGCGCCTCCCTGTCCACTGTGGTGGTGCTAAAGGCATAGCTGCAGTACCATAGTTTCAACAGTTGGTAATGCTTTACAGCAGGTGTGGGAAAGTTTTGACCCATCATATGTTGCTGAACTACAACTCCCATCATTTCTGCCCACTGGCCATGCTTGCTGGCACTGATGAGAGTTGCAGTTCAGCAATATGTGGAGGGTCAAAAGTTCCCCACAACTGTTCTGCTGTAACACAGTATCATACCCCTCAACTGCTCCAGGGACATCCCATTTGGGGGCACTGCGGCCCCAAGAGATGCAAGGTGTGATCTTGCATGAGATTGTGGAGCCCCAAAATGTGCCGCAATCTCATGCAGGTCACATGAGTCATGCAGTAACGTGTCCCAGAAAATTCATGTCCTGGTTTTCTGTAACAACCTGTTGGAGGGTGTTCAATATTCCTGTGCATCTGGTCACCCCAGCCTTTGAGAACAAATGGAAAGCCTTGTTCCATATTTTTATGCTACTTGAGCTGCTTCCCCAAACCTCCCTCTGCCATCTTCTTTTGAGGCTGTCTTAAAAAAGCTAGCTAGGTCCGTTCCTGAAAGATTTTGTCAGAGAAGATGCCTGGGAGTGAGAATTATATGATAGATCTTTGCCCTGGAAGGACTTCCACTGAGGAGCCAGTTTGAGACTTCCCAAGCTCATTTATTTTCCTGGCGATTTGGGCCTAGGCCACCAGAGGAGAAAGGTAACAGCGTTTAACTCCTGCCTTCAAGGCATAGAGATTTTCACTGTGATGTATGGAATGACTGCCCCGTTCCTGCTGGGAACTGCTGAAACTACAAGCTTTTTCGCACACATCTAGCCGAAGAAAAGCAGATTTGCCTGAGAGGGAGAGAAGAGGGGATGTGGAACTTGGTGACAAAAGGGAAAGTCAGCACGTGACTCAAATGAGCAAGTACATTGTAGACAGACAGGACCCCTGCTGCAGGTGTCCCATCCCTAGACACTGTGTCTTTCTGCTCCCATAGTGCAAAATAGTGGGGGAGGGGGAGAGAGGGCCCATATGCCCTACTTTATAGAGACAGTCCTGTCTGAATGGATGTCCTGTCCAAATCTAACTTAAAGCATCTTGTTTTTAGTTTTATGTTTTACTGGCAGTTTTAAGGTTTTTCCTTTTGTAACCCACTTAGCAGTTCTATTTGCAACCTATAGGTTTGCTTAGTTGGGAGAGCCCCTGACTCTTAATCTTTTGTCACGTTGGGCAAAAGATTCCTGCAATGCAGTAGGTTGGACTAGAGGATCCATGTGGTCCCTTCCAAATCTATAATTCTATGATTCTATGAAATTTCATTAAGTCAACAAATAAAATAAATACTCTAAATAAAAAAGAGAACCATACATGCCAGTTGCATTCATCCAACCTGAAGGTTGGATGAATCCATCAGCTTTCCTCCTGTCTTAAGTTTTCTACTTAAGCGATAAACAACTACCTGACATTCAGAAGACATCTTAAGGCAGCCCTGTTCAGGGAAGTTTTTAATGTGTGATATTTTAGTGTTTTTTGGTTTCTATGGAAGCCGCCCAGAGTGGCTGGAGAAACCCAGCCACATGGGTGGGGTACAAATAATAAATTATTATTATTATTATTATTATTATTATTATTATTATTATTATTCTACATTCCTGCATTATTGTGCTTTTTTTAAACAAAAGTCCTCTTGAAGATTCATCAGCATTTTAGTGAGCATTCCTTCTAATGCACACATTTTTGTGTGCAATTTTGCATAATATACACAGATTGGCAAGTAGTTTCCTCTTCTATAAAGCATTTTTAGGTTATTTCCACTAAAACATGCTTTTAATGCACACTCCCCCCAATAGCTATATTTATATTTATATCCACATCTAAAATGCATATTATTTGGCTGGAGAACTGCATCACAAAATTGAGAGAATGTTCATTTCAAAGGAAATCTGTCTTCTGGTTTACACATTGTTTCAAGAACTGAAAATGTAGTAGTTTTGCATTAAAATGCAAACAGAACTGAATTATCCCCCATCCCGACTGGAGGATAAAATGGAATTTGACATGGGGACCTGGTGGCTCAAACTCTTATCTGCTCCACCAGAAGTACATACACAGAGTTTGTGTCTGTTCCCCCTGTCTCCTTGCAAAGCATCTTCTTGGTCCCATCTGTCGAAAAGGATGCCCTGGAACTGAGGTCCAGGAGTCGCAGGGCTTTCTGAGAGAGCAAATGAGATGCATCTATCTGCCCATCTGTCCCTGCTTTTTTGGTCCCTTCCAGATGTTTTCTGCCTCCTATTAGCTTTAACCCTTTCTTGATCTCACAAGGACTGGAGCGGATAGCAGAGGGCTCCCTGGCTGAGCTGCAAACAGAAAACAAAAAACCCCCAGCCCAGCCATAAATTCTCCTTACATCCAGCAAAGCCCAGACATCCAATTAAAGCCATAATCCTATAAACCTGTCAGCAATCAAACAGGCTTCTTAAAATCAGGAACGACAGGTTGCTTTAAATCAATATGTCTAGGTAACAACTTGCAGTTTGTAGGGATGCTCTGACATACCATCTTTTGCTGCTGTGTGTCTGTTTCATGCCTGAAGTGAAAATAACAAAATACTCCACCTTCCTTCCTATTAGTTCTCCTTCTTATACTTCCCTCCCTGCTTCATCTCCTCAGCCCAGTAAAGGTAACATTGCTCAAAGGCTGAGTAATTATCCGATGTGATGTCGGGAACACTACACCGAAGGTGGTTTTCTTGGTTCATCCAGGTGACCAAGTTGTCACTCTCTTTCCCTTGTACAGTCTGTTTATTGAAGGATGGTTATATCATCACTGCAAGAATTGTTGGCTCCATCTGTCTCAAGGCACAATGTAGTGCACCTCCAGGGATGAAGCCAAAGTGACTTTCCTGGGCATAAGCTTGGGCAGTGTGTATGGAGGTCCTGGGCTGCCCAAATGGCAAGATCCCCCTCTCAGGCAGAAGGAGACATACAAAGTGCTACCCAATCATCTTAGAGACAAACTGGGGAAAGTGTCCAACTCAAGCTCCACTAGTGGAGGAGAAATCCACAGCACATTGTCATGATTTTTTATTGTTCCTTTGTAGCTGTGGCTGTAGCTGCCCCACACCTGACGCCATATGATGTCAGGTGTGGGGCAGGTGGGTGGGGTTTGGGGGAGGAAGAGCCTTGTGTGGGGTTTTAATAGTGCAAAGGAGACGTGCTTCTCATTATTCAGTAGATTCCCATTTTTCAAACTTGCACAAGTGCAACACCTCCAACATTCAGATAGTAAGAAACATGGACTGGTAATCTTTGAGACAGGTAAGTCATCATGAACCTGTCAGAGAACCTATCCAACAATAAAAGTTCTTTAGGAGAACTTTCTGAAGTGCTTTCTGATGGTGAAAGCTGTTTGACAGTGGAACGGACTACCGCGGAAGATGGCTGGAGGTTTTCAAACACAGGTTGAATGGCGATCTGTCAGAGATTCTTTAGCTGTGAGTCTTCCATTGCAGGGGTTGAACGAGCTGAGCCTTGACATCCCTTCCAACTCTACAGTTCTATGATTCTATGAATACATGAAGCTTCAGAACAAGGATATATGTGTTTGTGTTTGTGTGTGATTTGATTATAGGCTTTTATGGGTCAGTCACTAAGTCTGCTGTCTGGTTTGGTAGTTGTTCTTCCCCAATATTAAAAAAAAAGAACAACCAAAGTTCCTCAGGACTCTTTTATCCCCCATCTGCACACCATCCCAAATTCATGGCAGCCATTTAAAAGGCTTTGCACAGGATGCAGCAAGTGTGTGTGTGTGTGTGTGTGTGTGTGTGTGTGACTATTTCAGGACTATTTAGGGAAGCTTTAAAGCCTTTTTATTAGGACTATTTTTCACAGTCCTCCATGTGTAAAGCCAGATGGCTTGGTTTCTAGACATCCAACGATCCTCAAAGGGAGCCATAAAGACTCTAAAAAGACCTCAAGCAGCTTTTTGGTACATAAACAACTCCTCTGTTTTACCTCGATACACTCAAGGCTGGAAGTGATTGCTGTCTGCCCTACTGAGCTTTCTCGTGACCAGCTTATATACAAAACTTGCGCCAGGGGGATCTAATTGTTGCGACATAAATAGCCAGGCCACCATAGATGGCATGATTGGGAAACAGTGGAAATAGTCCCCTTTTGTGGGGAGTGGGTTTTTGCAAGAGCAGGAACTCAGAGGCTTTTTCCTGAGTGAGATGTTCCAAGAGATGTAATATGCCTTCTGCCATTTCTTGCTCTCCTACTGCTCCTTCCTTGCAACAGTTATAAAGAAAACTACTAAGTGGAAAGTTTCTTTGCACTTCGAAAAGTAGCCTCATCACATTAGAAAACTCGACTTAACCGGAGGCGGCTGGAAGGAGAGGGGGAAGCAATTCCCAAAGGAAACGCTAAGCTACTGAACAGAGATTTATTGCATGTTCCTGTGAAAGGTTTTAAGACATACAGAAGATTATTACACTGAACGTGTTTGTGGTATGATGTTTTCTGTTTAAATGTTTTGCTTTGTAATGAAAAACTAGGAAGTTCAATATGCTATTGTATTGTTTATATTATTTTGCCAGTTATGCTTTTTCCTATTCCCCCCCCCCACTCCTTTGAATACAAGTCTGTGCTTGTCTTTTGTATTCTGTATCTACAACTCTTGTCATCTTCTAAGCACCATTAGGGGCTTGTGGTGACATGACCCAATTGGAGCATCACCCCAGCTAGAAGTAAATATAGCTGGATGGGCAGAATCAGGAGGTGATGGGCAGGGCTGGTGGGTGCTTCTGATTTTTCTGCCAGCATATAACTAGGTAGATGGGCTGGGAGGAACAAGACAGCAGCAGTGGACTTACCAGAGTGGAACCTACTAACCTTTTGAAATAGTGAGGAAACACAGTGAAGGTGGTTTCTGGGCAGGAGGGATACCACCAAGGTTAAAACAGCCAAGGATACAGGCACTGAGTGAAGAAACTACAGGGCTCATCTAAAAATAACAGCTAGGCAAGATGATGGTGTTGTTTAATAATGGGCCTTTATTTAACGCCAGGATACTTTTTGATGAGCGGAGTCCCGGACTTCCAAACTAAAGGAATAAGGGACTCACCAGGTGTCAGGTAGCAGAGGATCCAGCCCCCATGGCAGGTCGCCAGGAATGGATAAGACAAGGAAAAGTCCTTACCAACGGCTTTTTATTCAATACTGACAGAGGCTTGGGAATGCAGCCTCTTGGATTAATGGCATTGCCCCAAGTGAGTCTCCACCCCTTCCTCTCTCATGCGTCATAGTTATGGTTGCTGAAAAGTGCCCTCTGCCTTTGAGCTCTTTGCTCTCCTACTTGCAATGCTTGCCGGGTTCTGGGAGAGGGGGTATCTGGAATGCTTTCTAAAGACACTGTGTCCATCAGCTGTCCCCCCTCTGGTGCTTCGTCTTCCTTCTCTCCCATTATTTCCCAGCTTTACTCCTCATCTGCCTCTGAGCTGTGGCCTCCCTCAAACCCTTGTTGTAATTCTGAACTGTCTTCTTCATCTCTGGAAGGGTCAGGCTGGGGAGGCGGTTTCCATCGTTCCTCCTCTGCCCACTCCCTGACACCAGGGTTCCCCAAAAGTGGTCCCAGTTGAAGCAGCCCCACTTCTAGCTGGGTTCGCCATACAAAGCATGCAATTCAGAAATCATGCCACCTCCATTGACGTGTATAACGTAGTTGCCTTATACTGAGTGAGAAGATCAGATAGCTCTGTATTGTACATGCAGCTCTTCAGGTAGACAACAATACCTTTTTTTCTGAGCCAGTTCAAAGACTCCAACAGTCTCAGAAGCCTTTTGTCACCCCCTAGGAACTAATGGAGCCATTGATTCCAGTTGAGGAAGTAAAATTAAGCGGCAGGAGCTATACTGGGAACAGTGTAGCAGATGTCTTGATACACATACAGCTGGCCATAACAACAAAAGAGCCTTGTAGCCTTTTAAACATGAATATATTTATTATAGCATGAACTTATTTGGACTACAGTCCACTTGATCAGATGCATAAAGTGTTATCCTTAGGTGCAGGTACATTTGTGCTAGTTCAATCTAAAAGTGGCAGCACTGAAGCTCTTGATGTATTGTAATTCAACTGTTTCATGTTTCAGTCTCCTTCTGAAGTTTCTTTGTTCAAGGATGGTCACTCTCTGGTCAGTCACAGTGCCCTGGGAGGCTGAAACATTTTCCCTACTAGCTTTCCTAGGTTGCCATTTCTCATGTCAGATTTGTGTCGATTCATTGTTTTGTATAGAGATGTGTATGCAGAAGGGCATCGCTGGCAGATGATGGTGTACATCACACTGGAAAATGATGTTGTGGGTGACATTATCAGGTCCTGTAATCAGGGATGTAAGAAAGCATCACATTACATTCAACCCTGTATTTGTCACAGGCAGCCCTGTTTCCATTCCAATGCAGTTCGCTTTTCGCCAAAACCAATATTAGTCACTTCACTGTGGAGAAATGCCATAACTTACATAATTTATGCAAATAATTTTGTAAATTGTCGTTCTGTTATTCCACCCCATTCATTTCAATGCAAAGGAAACAAAGTGCAGATGGGGGGAATGTAGTCAATTGCATACTGTTTGTGGACTGAAAACAACAACAACAAGGAATATCTATCATAGTCTCTGGATTGCATTCCATTCCAAACATCAGCAAATTCCACTCTTGTTTTCATTTTTATCAGAATTCTTCAATATCCCTACCTGTAATTGTGCTGCCAAACATAATGTGGGTGCAGAGTTGGCATCTGTGTACCGTATTTTTCACTCTATAGGACGCACCAGACCATAAGATGCACCTAGTTTTTGGAGGAGGAAAACAAGAAAAAAATAATATTCTGAATCTCAGAAACCAGAACAGCAAGAGGGATCGCTGCGCAATGATCCCTCTTGCTGTTCTGGCTTCTGGGATAGCTGTGCAGCTTGTATTCGTTCCATAAGATGCACACACATTTCCCCTTACTTTTTGGGAGGGAAAAAGTGAGTCTTATAGAGTAAAAAATACGGTACTTATCTCTCCTGTATTTGTTGTCACAGCTCTCAGTTAAAACTACTCAAATATATCACCAGTGGTCTTCCTGGATAATGGCTATACAATAGTCCACAAAAGCTGCTTCAAGCCAACCCTTGTGCGAGACAAGATGACTGCGTTGTTTGGCATATAGTAAGATGGTAACGTGGATGGAACTGAGCTTCGGGCAATGGCCATCCACCCTGTGTAAACAGGGAGCAAGGGAGTTTAAGAAAAGGTGGAATAAATACGGGGCTAAGACACAACCCTTGTTTACCCCTTTGTTGGCAATGATTTTGGGGGTTAGCCTGCCTAATGGGGAGCATTTCACCTGGCAGCACATGGAAGTGTGTTTTTTTTTCTGATGAGAAAGAGTAACTTTCCATCAATGTTCAATTTGGACAGTTTGTTCCAGAGCAGCTCCCTCAAAGCTCCTTTTAGGTACTAAGGTATCTCCTGCTATGTTTTGTTAACTGTGTTGTGTTCTGATACATGTATTAGATGCACTTTTTCTATGACAAAAAAGGAGATTGATTGATTGATTGATAATGGCATTTACTTCCCACAGGCCTTGAGTGGAAGGCCTGTGCTAACTTACAAACAGTTCCCAACCCAAGCAGTCACTCACCAGCAACAACAGGTCACGCAACAGAGATACAGACACAGGGACACAGGGTGGATGGGATGAAACTGTTTACACTCCATGCACTGGGTCAGATCAGGGAGAAGTATTTTCCAGTCTGGCTCAGATATATCGTATTCATTAAGCAGGATATAAAAAGCAATATATATTAAATAATAGTTGTCAAGATGAAAATAAAACTTCATGACTCCAAAACATTGCTAATTGTAGGTCAGGTTGCCAGCTCTCCTTGAAGCAATTTCAAGTTTGCTTTTCAGATACGTGCATAGTTAATTTATAAAAATGTAGCTAGAAAAATACAACTAACTTTGAGGTGTCTTGAAAAATGAAGACTCTATTATGTTTATGCTGGGGGCACACGAGATGTGCTGGCTTCCAGAATCTTGGACTCTTTCCTATTTATCTGCAAAACTTTAGAATCTCATTTCTCCCCATCCCCCAAAAGCACCATACCTACAACCTGAGCCTTTTAACAGTGTGCTGGTCACCGCAACAAGCTTTGCGTAGCTTTTAGAACAAAGATGACAACTCACTGCCCTCCAGATCTTTCTGGACTCTAGCCAGCCTCACCAAACATGGCCACTTGTCAGGGAATATGGGAGTTGGAGTCAACCCTCATCTGAAGGGTCACTGGTTCTTGATTTCTGTTCTAGAGTTTCCATATCCTCCTCATCTTCATGTGAATATCCCCAGAAGCAAATATTCAGAGTTAGCAGACTTTTGCTCCACTAGCTGTGCAGACATGAAACCTGGACTTGAAGGGGAGTCCTGATCTTGGTAGAACATCAGGGATTGGGTACCTGTGACCCTCCAGATGTTGTAGACTATAACTCCCATCCTCCCTGCTGGCTGTGGCTGATGGGAGTTGGAGTACAACAGTATCTGGAAAATGAGAGACTCCTCAAACCTGCTGCAAGTTATGGGTGCTGTACTCTGCACACACCCAGCCAAGGAAGGCAAACAGCCCATAGTTAATTCTTTATTGACAAAAACACACACTTACTGAAGCTCTTAAGGTGCACCAGATACACACACACACACTTCTAGAGTCTACGTAGCTGGCATTAACTTTCCCAAGTGCCCACTGGAGCAGCTGAAAAAACAGTGGGGCTACACACACACACACACACACACACACACACACACACACACACAGGGCTTATGTACCCCCATCTGACAGAGTCTGCACATGCTGCTTGAGACTTCCCCTGCATGGAAGTTGTTGCTGTGCTTCCCTCTATAAGTCCCTCCTGGTTCTAGGAGACAGTGGGGCAGTAGATGGCAGGGATTCAACCAGCCTGCCCTTCACTTGAACATAAATCACTGCCCCCCTCTCCTGGGTCAGCGTCTGGGCCCCCTGCCTTCTTCATACCCTTGTCAGAGCCCTGCCAGTCCCCGACATACTGTTTACAATAGGGGGATTCATCCATTTGCTGTTTAGTTGAACATACTGTTTTCTTACTAAATAAAACGACAGTCTTAGCACAGTTTTATCTTATTTTATTGCTTGGGTTCATCCTGTTTCATTTTAATCTTCAGAGGCAATAGTTTGTCATAAGTGAACAAGTTTTGGCAGTTGTCGAAACACGTCTCTCCCCATGCCCCACAAAATATGGAAAGTGAGGGCCAGTTCCCTGTTCCACAACATGGGATTTTATTAAACCCCAGGTTGACATTTACTGAAAAGTGAAAGCATATTTTTGATTATACACTAGTACACTCATAAGCAGCTTAATTTTGCTCTGCTTTAGCTAGGAACTATGTAAATTCCTTACAATTCATATTAAAATTTAACTTGATGGGCAGCTCAGCCTTTTGGCCTGAAACCTTCCTTATTTCTTCCTTTCATTACTTCATACATTTGCTTCCTTTCACTGTGCCAATAATAAAGACTAAGAAATGGGCCAGATGAGCTTCCCCCCTCATTTCTTCCTGGTCTTTCCACACATCCCAGCAAATTGTCTGGGCAATCAAAAGAAGAGAGAGAGGGAGAGAGAGTGAATGATTCACAGAAGGAAGGAAACTTTCCATTTCTGACTGAGTCAGAAGCTAAACATTAGGAGGACGCATCAGATGAATGCTGAATTAAGAACCAAAGTGGGTCTGCTTCCTATAGATTTGGATCTTTCCAAAGTGCCTTAGAATGGGGACCACTGAGGCAGTTTAGGGTGACTCAAAGATTCAGGTGTTGTTGTTTTTAAATTGTGCAGATAGCATGTTGGCAAAAACTTGAACATTTCTCCACAATCTTGTCGTATAAGGGTATGGAGAGAAGGTGAGGATGGAGTGCTCTTTCATGATTAGCTTCATACAAGGCCAGCCTACCCATGAGGTGGGGTGAAGCAGCCACTTCAGGTGGTGGAAACTCCCCTCAGGTGCCGCAGCTGTCCTGCTGCTTCCACCTCCAACAGAGAGGCAGTGAGGGCATCAGCATCTATTTATGGTGAGATCTTGCAAGATCTTGCTGAAATCTCATGAGATCTCACCAAAAATTCATGAGGAGGCTCACTTGGACTCCACATCTACCATCACAAGTCACACCATAATTTGTAGTGCTTTTGGCAGCCATGACGATGTACAAGAGTATGATATTCCAAAAACTTCATCAACCAAATACATGCTTTTACTATTCTGCTCAAATACATTCTAATCATATTTTCTCTATTTATCTTAAACTTCTCTGAATTCACACTACCTGCTCTGTCCCCTCCAAATTTCAACTAATTAAAGAACATTAAAGTCCTCACATCAAAGAGTGTGGATTTCAATTGAATTTGTCTAATTCTCAGCTCATAGCTGGGCTATGAAGAATGCATCTCCTCTCCCTTTTGTGTGCATTTGTAGTTTAGTATTTTGGTGATACCTCTAATTTAGTTTTGGTGCTGAAGGATACAGCATAAATAGACTCAATTTTCTCTGGTGCTGCCAAGTTCATGGCATGCCCTCCCCTCATCATTACATATATTTTGACATCATTCCAAGACATACATTTTTTTCACAGGTCTTTGCAAGTGGAGGACGAGATCTGAGTATTCGTTCAGTTGCAGTGCTGCTGCTGTTTCCGACTCCTTTTGATTCGGTTTAGTGTATGGTTGAGTCAGGTTTATGCATTACATGGTTTAATGGTTGTGTTGGGTTGTATGGAATATGTTGCACTGTGGGACTGCATGGTAAAGGGTGGACAACAAATGCATATGAATGCATAAATAAAATACTGCCATGGGGATGGCAGAGCAGCAGCCTCACGTGTTTGCTGCAGCCTCATAAAGGATGGCAGGATGGAAGAGTGTGATAGGAGAAGCAGTAAACATAGAGAGGAAGACAAGGAGGAAGGATGGCTGGCAAGTACCAAGTATGCAGAGTAAGGAGCAAAGAGTGGGAGAACCTCTGACCTAGAAAGACCAGGGGAACAGAATACAAAATCAGAGGGAGAAGAAAAACAGAGGAGGGAAGCTTGCACTTATAAAGACAAAAGAGGGATGAACAATTAGGCAGCTGTGATGATGATGATGATGATGATGATGATATATTATTTATACTCTGCCCATCCGGCCAGGCCTCCCCAGCCCCTCTGGGCGGCTTCCAACAGGATATTAAAAACACAATAAAACACCAGTCATTCAAAACTTCCCTAAACAGGGCTGCCTTCAGATGTCTTCCAAAAGTCAGATAGTTGTTTATTTCCTTGACATCTGATGGGAAGGCGTTCCACAGGGCAAGTGCCACTACCAAGAAGGCCCTCTGCCTGGTTCCCTGTAACCTCACTTCTCGTAGTGAGACTTCCGGGGTGGCGCCATCGGCAATGGCGGACTCCCTCTGATCTGGAGGGACTAGCTCCACGCGAAACGGGTCTTTTCCGCTTCGGCGAAGCGGGGACCCTTTTAAAAATCACAGGCGGATGAAGCCTGTGACCATGGGACTCGGCAGGCACCTTTAGCGCCCCCCCAACCCGCAAAGGAACCCACTAACGGGCTCCGGAGCGAAGAGGGGGAAGTGGCGCGGTGCTGAGAGTCAACTGCTTCTTCCGTGGAGCGAAGCCGCACAGCCATTGCCGGAGAGCGCTGCCTTTTTCCTGGCCTGGGACAATTTGGCTTCTAAAATAATCAACCGTGAGTACTTAAATTTCGGACAATTGGACTTTAAATAAGGACTTGCGAGCAGAAAGGAAAATTGGACTTAAAAGTTTACCTCAATTTGGCACTGAAACGGGAAGGTCTAAACAGGAAGTCAGCCTTCCGTTTCTTTGTAGATAGATTAAAGCAAAGACATGGCAAACTAGAGCTCAGAAAATCGCTTGTAAAAGATTAACTTTCATCATTTAAAATTGTTGAACCCCCTTCGGAAGCAGGAGAAGAGGGGGGGATTTTTTCGGACTGTTTAAACCTGCAGAAGTGAGTGTAAAGTAAAGTAACTTTCCACCGTCCTGATCCTGGAGCGGAGTGTCGGGACTGACGTTTTTTGAAGCTCATTGACCAGAGACAAACGTTTTTGACAGATAGCTATAAGAAGAGAAACATTGATTCCATTGTTCCCCTTCGCATTTTAAAGGAACAAATATTGACAAAATATCGGAAAAAGGAAACTTTGTTGTTAGACTTTTCTTTAAAAGAAAGAACAAATAGAAGTTTTCCCTAGAGGGAGACTGTGAAACTGTAACCAACTCCGGGAGCTTGCAGCTGTTACAGATTACAATCGTGGGAATAGACTTCTGACCTTGCAGAACAATGTATTCAGAAGCTCTGTTGTGTGCTTTCTGTAAAACAAATGCCCTACTGGAACAGCTACATGAGAAGACGGACTTGATGACTAATGCGATCAGAAATTTTGAACAGGCAGTGGGAAATTATATGGAGCCCACCCAGGAATTAAATCAGGAGTGTGCCCTGACAGAACAGATGAGGGAAGAGGATGTTGCTGAACCTCAGGCGCCAGAGATGAAGGGAGCTGTGGCCCAGCAGGAACATGAGTTCTTGGATCTGACAAATGAACTTGGAAAAAGCCAGATTTGGAAAGATAAAGTTTGGTTTGGTTTGGAAATGGGGGGTTGGATAGACCCCCCCCCCCCATGCAGGGATGTTTGGACTTTTCAAGTCTGGCAATGGGCCGTGAAATGTTTGGGGTTGTGGGGGCTCTTAATTTTGGAGGGATTTTGAAACATGTTCTTAAATACCACATGAAGTTTAGTGTGGACTATGGAAAAGGGGCTGATTTGTCGAGAAGGGTCAAAAACATTGTTAAGCTGGAGTTCCCACGAGTCAAAGGAGCAGGAGACAAAGGAAAATACAGTTATAAATATGAAGAAGAGCTGCGGAAGGGACATGGAAGAGACTTAAGGGCCTCGGATACAAGGTTACCAGGTTAATGCGCTAGATCGATGGGATAATAAGGACTGACAAAATCCGGGACCAGGAGGAAGGGACGCTGGATGAAGATTGGATTGTTTTTATTTCTTTTTTTTACTACTAGGATTGTTTTATAAAATTGATGAATGTTAGAAACATGTTGGAACGAAATTACTTGGCTTTAGCAAAAATGTTTAAAGAATTATGTAAGAATATTATGGTTATGAGAAGTTGGTAAAAATAAGATTTAAGTTTTAAGCTTTAAGGTTCTTTATTACTATAAGATAAGATTAAAATAGATTAAGGTAATGTAATGACAGAATATTATGAAATATGGAAAGGATTTGCTGCGACAATTAACAACTAGGATACAAAAAAAGGGAGGAGGAGGAGGTCAAAGAAAGAAGGTAATGACAGTGGAGGATTTGAGAAGGATGGATTTGTTTTTGAGTGTTTGTGGTGTATTTTTGTTTTTTGAATTTGTGTTGTTTGATGTGGTTTGTTTTTTCTTTGTTTTTTCTTTCTCTTCTTCTGCTTTGTTCTCTTTTGTAATTCTAAAAATTTCCAATAAATATCATTTAAAAAAAAAACCACCTCACTTCTCGTAGTGAGGGAACCACCAGAAGGCCCTCGGAGCTGGACCTCAGTGTCCGGGCAGAACGATGGGCGTGGAGATGTTCCTTTAGCTACACTTCTAAGAGGAACAGCTATACTTCTGAATACCAGCTAATCTTCTGCTTGGATCCTGCTTTTGGGTTTCCCACAGTCATCTGGTTGGCCACTGTGAGAAGAGGATGCCTGATCTGGCAGGCTCTTCTTATGTTCTTACATTGCTGTCTCAGAGGTGAAACAAGAGATAGCAAAGGGAATTTTGCAAGCTTTGTGTATCACAAAAGGGACACTGTGGTGAGAAAAGTCCTTTCCTTCATGGGAAGTTGAGGGTCCACCAGGGGAAACCTGGAGTAAGGAACCATTCTGGAATTCTGACGGCTCCCTTGGGGGGTGTTAACAAGAACAGGAAGCCTGACAGATGCATTGAACTAAATATTTAATTTAAATAAATAAATTGTTCTTCTATGGCATCTGACTTTTCTTGATGCCCCAAACATGATGTGAGAGAATGAGATTCCCCACAGACGACTAACAATGGGGGAATCAGTCTATCTCTGGTCTGTATTCCTTTCCCAGAACCTCATTCAACATCTGTTTGCTTTATCTCATTTCCATACTAAACTGCATTTAAACATTAAAAGTTTGCATTTAAATACATATTTTGAAGCATGTTTGCTTTCCAATATGCATCTCTAAATGGATTTTCTTCCAGACATGCATTTTAAAATGTCTTTTGATACTTTTTTTTTTTTAAAAAAAGAAGAAGCTGAAGACTGTTTCAGAACATTGACAAAGTACAGAATCTGGTGTGTAATTACCGTTAGTATGGGAAGTGCATATAAGGTCCATTCAGATCAGATTCCGTAAAAAACTGACTTCCCAGGTATCCTTACAGATACCTATTCCTAATAGCTTCGTAATAGCTTCCTGACTTCCTGAGGATCGTTAACAGGTAGCCAATCATTTTATCCTTGCAAGCTCTCAGATCATCCATTTCTTTAAGTATGTTATATATAGATTTAACTTTTAAAAAGCATTTTCCCAATTATTCCATGCTCCACATTGATGCCTGGAACCTGGAGGCTACAAATTATTTTACCAAGAAGGAAACGACTGCTTTGGCTAATCGGTATCTGATTCTGCACCCTAACATACTCTTGGGCATGGCGCTTGCCTCAATTTCCCAATGCAGAGAAAAATTAATTTTTAATAGACAACTGCAAAATTGTATGTGTTTCCTTAAACTGATAACAACAACAGCAGACTTTGGGATTATTATTATTTTCTTTCTTTCTTTTTTTTAAAAAAAGGAAGACATTTTAAACTAATCCTGTTAGGCAATGAGGGAAGTAGAATATTTTTTTCCCTTTCCACTAATGCTAAGTCTGAAGCAGATTAAATGCATCTGCTAGAATACATCCTCTTTATGAAGAATTTATAATGCAGGTTGTTATGGCGGGCAGGGGAGCAGAGTGCTTATTATCAGATTATCCACATTTAATGAGGCTGACCTAATCCCATCAGCCGTTGCCTGTGGCAGGTGAGAGTCACTCGGTGCTGAGAGGTTAATTCAGAGAGGTGGTTTGCTTTGTTTCCTTCTGCAGAGGTGCTAATGGTTATGTGCAGGGTGGCTTTGGAGGGGAGGCGGGACAAACGTCCTGTCAGTTGTTCACTCAATAATTCCATGTTGCACAAGAAGGCGCCACATTCGGGGAGATGAAACACCCAGGCTGAAAGTCAGGTAAGGACCAGCCGTGCATAGAATATAGGAGCTGAACCTTAGACCCTTGGGCCAAATGCAGTCCTCCAAACCTCTCTGTCTTACCTTTGGGGTGTTCCCCAGGCTACACACTGTCCTGAATCAGACCCCTCGTCAGCTGTGATTGGCACCCTCCTTGAGCATTTTTTGCCTGGCTGAATTTATCCTTGAACTATTGCATGGGTAGGGGATGCGAGTGGTGCTGTGGGTTAAACCACAGAGCCTAGGACTTGCCGATCAGAAGGTCTGCGGTTCGAATCCCCATGACAGGGTGAGTTCCTGTTGCTCGGTCCCTGCTCCTGCCAACCTAGCAGTTCCAAAGCACGTCAAAGTGCAAGTAGATAAATAGGTACCGCTCCGGCAGGAAGGTAAACGGCGTTTCCGTGCACTGCTCTGGTTCGCCAGAAGCAGCTTAGTCATGCTAGCCACATGACCCGGAAGCTGTACGTCGGCTCCCTCGGCCAATAAAGCGAGATGAGCGCCACAACCCCAGAGTCGGCCACGACTGGACCTAATGGTCAGGGGTCCCTTTACCTTTACCTATTGCATGGGTAGGCAAACTAAGGCCCGGGGGCCGGATCCAGCCCAATCACTTCCTAAATCTGACCCACGGACGGTCCAGAAATCAGTGTGTTTTTACATGAGTAGAATGTGTGCTTTTATTTAAAATGCATCTCTGGGTTATTTGTGTGGCATAAGAATTTGTTCATTTTTTTCTTTTCCAAAATATAGTCCAGTCCCACACAAGGTGTGAGGGACAGTGGACCGGCCCCCTGCTGAAAAAGTTTGCTAACCCCTGAACTATTGCCTCTTGCTTGCCTAGGTGGCGGGTAGCGAGTGGTGTGTGTGAATGCATGTAGACAGCAGACTGTTGTGCGAAAGGCAAAATCCACATTAATTGTTTTGTCCACTTTTGCCTCTAGCCTTGACCGCCACTGGCATGTGGCCTGGCATGCTCTGTAGGGATTTGGAACTGTCCAAAGTTCCTTGGAGCAGAGACCACTGAAGCAGTTTGGGGGGATTCAGAGATCAAAAACAGAAAAACTCTGTGCAGACAGCATGCCTGCAAAAACTGAATTGTTCCTCCCCAAGCTTGTTGTATAAGGATGGAGAGAAGAGGTGAGGAAGGAGAGCTCTTTGGTGACTGATAGGTCCAGCTTTGTACCAGAGGGAATAATATTACTGGGACTCTCTAAGCACAGTGTTTTCCCTCCAGATCTTCCTATTATTATTGCTATTTATAAAATTTGCATACCACTCTACATCCGTAGATCTTAGGGCGGTTCACAACATCAAATTACAATATAAAAAACAAAAAATATATATAATAAAAACAGAAGCAGAAACAATTCAATAATCCCCCCTTCCCGACTGAAGAGGAATGCTTTTACTTGGCATCTAGAGATAATGAAGGTGTGAGCTGAACCTCCCCGGGGAGAGCATTCCACAAATGGAGAAACACTGCAGAAAAATCCAAACACTCATGTTTCTGAAATGTTACGTGTTAGTTTCTTACAATGCAGGCCATTTTCATAATAACATTGTTGCCCACAGAATCACAGGAAGGAAAAGGAACAGAATTAGCTTCCCAGAAATAGACATGGCTAGCTGGCAACCTGAACAGGAGCACTCCATATTAAAACATTTTGCTGCAGTGTATTCCTAAAGAAATGGGAGTGCCTGATCACCCATCTGTCTCCTGAGAAATCTCTATGTGGGACAAGAAGCTACAGTTAGAACTGGATAAGAGGAAAGCACAAAATATGGTTTGAAGCTCAACATGAAAAAAAACTAAGATCATGGCCACTGGTCCCATCACCTCCTGGCAAATAGAAGGGGAAGAAATGGAGACAGTGAGAGATTTTACTTTATTGGGCTCCATGATCATTGCAGATGGTGACAGCCGTCATGAAATTAAAAGACGCCTGCTTCTTGGAAGAAAAGCGATGACAAACCTAGGCAGCATCTTAAAAAGTAGAGACATCAACTTGCCGACAAAGGTCCATATAGTTAAAGCTATGGTTTTCCCAGTAGTGATGTACGGAAATGAGAGCAGGACCATAAAGAAGGCTGATCGCTGAAGAATTGACGCATTTGAATTATGGTGCTGGAGGAGACTCTCGAGAGTCCCATGGACTGCAAGAAGATCAAACGTATCCATTCTTAAGGAAATCAGCCCTAAGTGCTCACTGGAAGGACAGATCTTGAAGCTGAGGCTCCACTACTTTTTTGTTTTTTTTTAAATGATATTTATTGGAAATTTTTTTAAAGTTACACAAGAGAACAAAGTAGAAAAAGAAAAAAGAAAGAGCAAAGAAAAAACAAACCACATCAAACAATACAAATTCAAAAAAACCAAAAATACACCACAAACATTTAAAAACAAATCCATTATTCTCAAATCCTCCACTGTCATTACCTTCTTTCTTTGACCTCCTCCTCCTCCCTTTTTTTGTATCCTAGTTATTAATTGATGCAGAAAATCCTTTCAATATTTCATAATATTCTATCAATACATTACCTTAAACTATTTTAATCTTATCTTACTATAAAAACCTTGAAACTTAAAACTTAAATCTTATTTTTACCAACTTCTCATAACCATAATATTCTTACATAATTCTTTAAACATTTTTACTAAAGCCAAGTAATTTCATTCCAACATTTTTCTAACATTCATCAATTTTATAAAACAATCCTAGTAGTAAAAAAAAGGAAATAAAAACAATCCAATATTCATCCAACGTCCCTTCCTCCTGGTCCCGGGTTTTGTCAGTCCTTATTATCCCATCGATCTAGCGCATTAACCTGGTAACCTTATATCCGAGGCCCTTAAGTCTCTTTCATGTCCCTTCCGCAGCTCTTCTTCATATTTGTAACTGTATTTTCCCTTGTCTCCTGCTCCTTTCACTCGTGGGAACTCCAGCATAACAATGTTTTTGACCCTTCTCGACGGATCAGCCCCTTTTCCATAATCCACACTAAACTCCATGTGGTATTTAAGAACATGTTTCAAAATCCCTCCAAAATTAGGAGCCCCCACAACCCCAAACATCTCGCGGCCCATTGCCAGACTTGAAAAGTCCAAACATCCCTGCATAGGGGTCTATCCAGCCCCCCATTTCCAAACCAAACCAAACTTTTTCTTTCCAAATCTGGCTTTTTCCAAGTTCATTTGTCAAATCCAAAAGCTCATGTTCCTGTTGGGCCACAGCTCCCTCCATCTCTGGTGCCCAAGATTCAGCAACATCCTCTTCCCTCATCTGTTCTGTCAGGGCACACTCCTGATTTAATTCCTGGGTGGGCTCCATATATTTTCCCACTGCTTGTTCAAAATTTCCCACTGCCTGTTCAAAATTTCTGATCGAATCAGCAATCAAATCCATCTTCTCATGTAGCTGTTCCAGTAGGGCATTTGTTTTATGGAAAGCACACAACAGAGCTTCTGAGTACATTGTCCTGCAAGGTCAGAAGTCTGTTCCCACGATTGTAATCTGTAACAGCTGCAAGCTCCCCGGAGTTGGTTACAGTTTCACAGTCTCGCTCTAGGGGGAAAACTTCTATTTGTTCTTTCTTTTAAAGACAAGTCTAACAACAAAGTTTCCTTTTTCAGATATTTTGTCAATATTTATTCCTTTAAAAAGCAAAGGGGAACAATGGAGTCAATGTTTCTCTTCTTATAGCTATCTGTCAAAAACGTTGTCTCTGGTCAATGAGCTTCAAAAAACGTCAGTCCTAACACAGTCCAGGATCAGGACGGTGGAAAGCTACTTTACTTTACCCACACTTCTGCAGGTTTAAACAGTCCGAAAAAATCCCCCCTCTTCTCCTGCTTCCGAAGGGGGTTCAACAATTTTAAATGATGAAAGTTAATCTTTTACAGGCGATTTTCTGAGCTCTAGTTTGCCATGTCTTTGCTTTAATCTATCTACAAAAAAATGGAAGGCTGACTTCCTGTTTAGACCTTCCCGTTTCAGCGCCAAATTGAAGTAAACTTTTAAGTCCAATTTTCCTTTCTGCTCACAAGTCCTTATTTAAAGTCCAATTGTCCGAGTTTAGGTACTCACGGGTGATTATTTTAGAAGCCAAATTGTCCCAGGAAAAAGGCAGCGCTCTCCGGCAACGGCTATGCGGCTTCGCTCCACGGAAGAAGCAGTTGACTCTCAGCACCGCGCCACTTCCCCCTCTTCGCTTCGGAGCCCGTTAGTGGGTTCCTTTGAGGGTTGGGGGGCGCTAAGGGTGCCTGCCGAGTCCCATGGTCACAGGCTTCATCCGCCTGTGATTTTTGAGAGGGTCCCCGCTTCGCCGTAGCGGAAAAGACCCGTTTCGCGTGGAGCTAGTCCCTCCAGATCAGAGGGAGTCCGCCATTGCCGATGGCGCCACCCCGGAAGTGAGGCTCCACTACTTTGGCCGCCTCATGAGAAGAGAAGACTCCCTGGAAAAGACCCTGGCATTGAGAAATACTGAGAGCACAAGGAGAAGGGGACGACAGAGGACAAGATGGTTGGACAGTGTTCTCGAAGCTACCAGCATGAGTTTGACCAAACGGTGTGAGGCAGTGGAAGAGAAGAGTGCCTGGCATGCTCTGGTCCATGGGGTCACAAAGAGTCGGACATGACTAAACAACAACAACAATGATAAAAAACGAAGCATGGGTCATTCTTGAAGTTAATAATGTTGTTAATAATGGTGAGACCCAGATCTTAAAAGTGGAGGATTATTACTTTAGACTAGCCTTCTCCAAACTGATATCTTCCTAATTTATGGGTTCTGTGCTTCCATCACCCTGACCATTGGCCACGCTGCCTAGGAATGATGGGAGTCGAACAATATGTGGAGAATAACTGGTTGATGTTAAACATAGTTATAGCGTGTTTGGTGGTAGTCCAAAAGAGACTAGTAAAGTTTGCAAAGGAAGTCCAGTGGGCCACTCCAATATACTATAGGCAAGAATATTTCTGGTGATACCAAGTCATGCTTGTAATGTAACTCCTTTTACTAGGAAGATATACTAAGTACACTTCTTGTGGCACACCCACAAAACCCTCCACTAAGTGAATGTGTTTATCATTTCCAGCATTATTCCACTTTCTTTCATTGCTGCCTACAGATGAGCCTGATCTTTACTGAGGATAATGACAAAAAATTGCGGTGTAATACTGTAATGGGGTTTATATATAGAAGTTGTGTTCTATTCACACCCACTGGATGGATGTATAAAAACATATGCACACAAACATATCCAACGATGGTGTTTTCACCCTCCCACTGGCACATTATTGTAAGTGCCTGAGTTGGTGACAGAGAAGTGTCATTTGAGGAATCTGGAAACACTCCTAAAATCCAGAACATCATTGCATCTTATTATAGGTAATGAGGCCCATTTAGCTGCAACAGCATTTATATACAAGTTTTTCATTCGCAAAGAATCTCAATGCGCTTTAAAAATTTCATCCGATATACACCCACTACTCTGCAATATACCAGAGTTGGGTGAAGAGGCCTTGGAGAGTCACTGTGCCACGCACCACAGTGTTGGGAATGGGTTCAAATCCCAAGCCACCCATTAAATTACTAGGCAGTTGTGGGTTACCTTACTTGCTAAGTTTCAACCTCAGTTCTCCATCTGTAAAATGGGCACAACAACAGGTAAATTCACTGACTTTGGAGAATGCCAAACAGATTATAATTTAAATCATATTGAGCTGCTGGTTAAATGCTAAACACCAGCAGCAACAATCATGTGAAATTTTATCATTCATTGGTGTTATCTCTACAGAAATTATTGGAAAGAAAATATGAAAAGAAAATACGTGGTTCACACCACACCATTCTGGCATTGTGACCCATCAGGAAATGCAGGGTAAAATGTGAAGATGCAAAATTAGAAACATGACAGCAGCAACAAGAAGCAGAAATAACAATGTCAAATTAGCAGTTTATACATGAAAAAGAAAAAGTGCTTCACAGCAATGTCTTGCTTCAAGGGTGAATCTCTCAATATGCACAGCAATCTCTATGAAAAGGGGTTGAGTGGCCTTGTTCACTAATCCGTAGGTTGAAGGAAATTTTTTTTTATTTATTTAAGTGGGATGGAAATAGAAGGCTTAGTTAGGATATGTAAAATGCTGGGAAATTGTTAATAGGAGGTAGACAAATCTGTCAATTTCAATTTATCTTTTTCCCAATCTTAAATTCACTTCCTCACATTTCCCCAAACTTTTCTGTGTGTCTTTTTTTAAGTTTGCATTAAAATTAATCTGCATTTTCATTCTTCTAATATGCACGTTTTGTACAGACTTTCACCTTATAACCGTGTTTTTTTTTTGCAAACCATTTCCCCTAATTTAATGCATTTTTGTATTTTAATCCCTCCCCCACTTATGTTTCCACTTACACACACTTTCCCCTAGTATATGCATTTATGAATGACTTATTTGGTTGAAGAACTGAACTGCAAAATTCAGAGAAGTGTGCATTTGGAGAAACGGCTGTGTTTCAGACTGCATATCGTTTCAGGAAATGCTGATTTCACAGTTCAACCTTTAAATGTGGGCTGAATTATGAAAATGATATACAGGTGGTATATGACACCAGTCAAGCTTGCAAAAATTTACCATGCGCCCGATAATAAATGTTGGAAATGTAAGGAAAATGAAGGTACTTTCTTTCACCTTTGGTGGACGTGCCCAAGGATTAAGGCTTTCTGGGAAATGATATATAATGAATTGAAAAAGGTATTTAAATATACCTTCTTGAAGAAACCAGAGGCCTTTCTCCTGGGCATAGTCGGCCAATTGGTGCCAAAGAGGGACAGAACTTTCTTCATGTATGCCACAACAGCAGCAAGAATACTCATTGCAAAGTATTGGAAGACACAAGACCTACCCACCTTGGAAGAATGGCAGATGAAGGTGATGGACTATATGGAATTGGCGGAAATGACTGGCAGAATCCGAGACCAGGGAGAAGAGTCGATGGAGGAAGATTGGAAAAAGTTTTAAGATTATCTACAGAAATATTGTAAAATTAATGAATGTTAGAATGATGTTGGATAGAAACTAAGTGGTCTTTAGCTGAAAGGTTACAAGGGAAAATGAAAAAAGGGTTTACTATCTAATATGTAAAAATCTAAAATTACAATATTTTTATGACTAATGATTAGGATACTAAAAGAGGGGAGGGATTTGCTGAACGAAATAACTGAACTGGAATACAAAAAGGAAGGTGTGAGGAGGTCCTGGAAATAAGCAAATGAAGGTCAAGTAATGGAAGGAAAGAATTGTTTTTAAATATTTTTACTTTGTATTTGTTCTTTGGTTTTTTTGTTTTTTTCTTGTGTGTTTTGTCAAACTTTGAAAATCTTAATAAATATCTTATAAAAAAATAAAAAATAAATGTGGGCTGAATTAAATTTCTTCCCCCTTCCTTAAGTGTTAAAGCGCTTGAAAAAGAGATGTCGGAGTTAACACTACATGGTTTCCTTGGTTTAGTAGCCTTGTGGGTAAACTGCAACCTGGTAAATAGGATGAGGCCATAGCTCAGTAGGAGAGTTTTTCATGCAGAATGTCCCAGGTTCATCCCCTTGCCTCTCAAGATGAAAAGCAAAGCTAGCAAGGAAAATATAGAATCATAGAATTGTAGAAGGGACCCCAACAGTCATTTAGTCCAATCCCCTGCAATGCACAATCTCAACTAAATGATACATAACATGTGCCCATCCAGTCTCTGCTTAGAGGTAAAGGTAAAGGGACCCCTGACCATTAGGTCCAGTCGTGACCGACTCTGGGTTTGCGGTGCTCATCTCGCTTTATTGGCCGAGGGAGCTGGCGTACATCTTCCGGGTCATGTGGCCAGCATGACTAAGCCGCTTCTGGTGAACCAGAGCAGCGCATGGAAATGCCGTTTACCTTCCCGCCGGAGCGGTACCTATTTATCTACTTGCACTTTGACGTGCTTTCGAACTGCTAGGTTGGCAGGAGCAGGGACCGAGCAATGGGAGCTCACCCTGTCACAGGGATTCAAACTGCCAACCTTCTGATCGGCAAGTTCTAAGCTCTGTGGTTTAACCCACAGCGCCACCCCGTCCCTCAGTGAAAGAGAGCCCACTACTCCAATGGAGTCTGTTGCACTGCTGAACAGCTCCATCTTCTACGCAGAGGTGGAGCTAGCTGCTCCGGTACCTGGAGCGGCGCACATGCTGTTCACCTGGGGGCAGGGCCAGCGTCCCAAGGGGGCAGTGTCCCGGGGGGCACCGCCCGCAGCGAGCATCCAAGGGAGGCACCGCAGCGAGAGTCCCAGGGGGCGAGCTGTGGGAATGTTTATATAATTTAGCAGAGTTTAAACGATCCCCTGTTTGAGTTTATGCAGCGACAAGCGGGTTGCTAACTCTTTTAAGTCCTATCAATAATTATTACTTCCTGGTTGATAATCCCTTTCTGTCCCTCTTAAAGAAAACACACATGAATCTGAATCATACAGTGGTACCTCGGGTTACAGACACTTCAGGTTACAGACGCTTCAGGTTACAGACTCCGCTAACCCAGAAATAGTACCTCGGGTTAAGAACTTTGCTTCAGGATGAGAACAGAAATCTCATGGTGGCGGCGTGGCGGCAGCGGGAGGCCCCATTAGCTAAAGTGGTACCTCAGGTTAAGAACAGTTTCAGTTTAAGAATGGACCCTTGGAACGAATTAAGTTCTTAACCTGAGGTACCACTGTATTAACATAAACTACTTTACTATCGGATTCATTCAGGTTTACAGAGCTGTTCCTGAAAACAGGTTTAGGTCACATAACAGATAAACTATATACTAGATAGCAGTGAGTCATGAGAAGACTGCATCCGAACAGTTACCAGTTAACACTCCTTGCAGCAACCGACCAACTGACTAAAATGCCTGCCCCATAGAGGCAGTTAGTCCTCTCTCGGAATGTTGGACTTGATTGACAGCGTTATATCCCACATGAGCCACGCATGGGAGGTGGAACGAGCTGCCCATGGCGGGCTGCTTCCTGGGCGGGAGCAGCTCTGCTTTGCCAGCAGCCTTCCTCCCTTCCTTTTGACAGCTTAGAGTAGGCTCCTCCCCTCCACCGGAAGCAGCCCGGAAGTGGGGAACAATGGCGTGCCACCCGCCTGCAACTCCCAAGCCTCCCCCGAGCTGTCAAAACAAAGGGGGAATGGGGGGAAGTTGCTGGCAAGGCAGCACAGCTCTGCCCCTTCCCCTGACGGCTCGGAGTAGGCTTGGGAGTCACGGGCAGGTGGCACGCTGAATGTCACCCCCCCTCAGTGATGACACCTAAGGCGGACCGCCCTCACCGCTCCCTTCCTCCGTCCCTGCTTCTATGTGATACCCTTTACATATTGGAAAGTGGCTCCTCCCAGTCTCCTCTTTTCCAGGCTAAACATACTCAACTCCCTCATAAGCCTGGGTTTCCATACACTTTATACTCTTGGTTGCCCTCCTCTTCACTCATTCCGGCTTGTCAATATCCTCCTTAAATTGTGGCGCCCAGAACTGGACACAGTACTCCAGATGTAGACTGACCAAGACAGAATAGAGCAGTACTATTACTTCCCTTCATTGGGACACTATACTTTCATTGATGCAGACTTAAGTTTCAGACCTTGGATAGCTGCTGCCAGTCAATACTGGGCTAGGTGGGCCTGACATACAAAGGATGAACAGGTTAAATCTGTAATGATCCACTGGGCTAAGGATTTGGGGCATAATATCAAACTTTCAGACTGGGAAAGGTTATGGAAAACTGATTTGAAATTCTTGGCATGTTTCACGCTGAAAGAAAATTATATGAAAATGATGTACCGGTAGTATCTGACTCCTGGTAAGTTAGCAAAAATGTATAGGAAAAAGTACAAATATATGCTGGAAATGTAAAGAAAAAGAACGTACCTTTTATCATATGTGGTGGATGTGTAAGGTAATAAAAGGATTCTGGGAAATGATATATAATGAATTGAAAATAACTTTTATTTATTAAAAAAACAGAAGCTTTTCTATTAGGAATTGTAGGTGCCGATATTCCAAAGAAGCAGAAAAGACTTTTTATGTATGCAACAGCAGCCGCGCGGATGATACTAGCCCAGAAATGGGAAGAGGACAAAGTCCCTACTAGAAGAATGGCAAACTAAGATGTTGGACTATGCTGAAGTGGCAAAACTGACCGGAAAACTCAGGGACCAAGAAAACCTAAACTTAATAAGGAATGGGAAAAATTTATAACTTATCTGGGAGACCACTGTAAGCAGATGAAAACATTAGCAGGATTACAATAACACTTGTAATGTAGCAAATATTATGAACAAAATGGAGTGATGTAAATTATGAATTGCCAAATTATAAGAAGTTGAAAAGGTTGACAATGGGACCCTTGGAGGGGAAGGTGGGAAGTCTAGAAATTCAGAGCAATCTCTAAATATGGATATGTATTTTGTTTTGTTATAATTTTATACTTGTAAAATCAAATAAAAACTATTTCCCAAAAAAATAATTAATACTGGGCTAGGTGGGCCAATAGTTTGAGTTTAGGGCAAGTACCAAGATTTGAGTTAGGTTGAGTGTCCCCATTCTGACTGCATTTCCTTCCACTTCAGCACTCTGTTCTAGTGGCTCTGGCTTTGTTCTATTACAAAGGCCCTTTGTTCTCTAGCTGGAGTGGTTTTTATGTTACTCAGCTTTTGATTAACTGTTGTTTTATGTTCTTGGCTTGTGCCTTTTTAATTTCTATATTTAAAATGCTGCATGAGTAAAGGACAGAGGAAACCGAGAGGGTGGAGAGAGAGCCACAATGTGTGGTGCCGGTGCTCTTATTTTTGACGAGTGTTTCTCAAACTCTGATTTGGAATACGCAAAAATGTACCCAGGAAGGGAAAGTGGGGAACATCTGGTGCTGCTCATCCTGCATTTATAAAATGTTCCATTCCCTTCAAAAAATGGAATGTGTTGGTGTGTGCAACCTTGCAAAGGGCCTCCTCTATTTGGGGGACTCCTCTGTTTGATGGGCTGTCCAGTCCAAGTGTGGTAAATAAATGATAAAGCACTCTAAACATGGGGATCAGGAGGGCCTTGGAATTGCCCATCAGGAGGGATGCGGGTGGCGCTGTGGTCTAAACCACGGAGTCACTTGGGCTTGCCAATCAGAAGGTCAGCGGTTCTAATCCCAGCAACGGGGTGAGCTCCCATTGCTCTGTCCCAGCTTCTGCCAACCCAACAGTTCGAAAGCACACCAATAGAAGTAGATAAATAGGTATCGCTGCAGCAGGAAGGTGAACAGTGTTTCTGTGCGCCCTGGCTTCCGTCACAGTGTTCTGTTGTGCCAGAAGCGCTTTAGTCATGCTGGACAGTTAGAAAGCTGTCTGTGGACAAACGCCGGCTCCCTCGCCCTGAAAGCGAGATAAGCTCCACAACCCCATAGTCACCTTTGACTGGACTTAACCATCCTGGGGTCCTTTACCTTTACATTTTGCCCATCGAGAGATAACACCTGTACAGCAGACTGACCAGGCACACAGGTCACCTGGTCTCAGTCTTTCGCATGGTGGTGGTATGTACTCTGCTGTTTGTTATACTGTTGTAATTATTTCTCAGTTTCCATCTAAGCATAAAAATTTGCAAATGCAACTCCATACCCTCTTCCCCCACCCACTGTGTTGATGTTGGTTTTTCTCTTTTGTGGCTGTGCAGGTGTCTACCGTATTAGGAGCAATGGGAAGGATGCTTGAGGTTTTCTTCCCCGTCACTAGCATTTTTGCGCAGCAATCCCACTAGAACTGAGCGCTGCCATGGTGAAAGAGGAAGGAAATGTTGCCAGAGAACTCAGCCAATTCTAGACACAGATCTTTGGGAATTGGAGGCTTGCCTAGTAGGACAAATGGGGCACTGCCCTACTAACTTCAGTCTGCCCTCAGACAGCCCTCACTTCCCTGCTTTCTAACTCACATTTGATCCAGGAGATGTCCCTGGCTGTCAGCTTCCTCCCTCTTTGTCTTAGTTTTGCCCTTGTAGGACTCCACAGCATGGGCATAGCTGGGAGTGGGGCATAGCCAGGAGGATCAGCTGCCCCCTCCATAAATCAAGTAAATAAATAGAAATACTCAACTGACTAATTGCACAGCAGATAACTCAGTTCTGTCCCCCTAACATAATGCCCCCCAATCCTGGCTAATCCCATGCTCCACAGGCAGGAGAAAGAGGGAGAAAATGAGTTGGTGCTGCCTGTCATTGGCTCTGCTTGCTGCTGGCCTCTTTGCTTTCCACCCTACCAGGCCAGGGAAGAGGAGTGTGGTTTGAGGTGGAAAGTAAGTGGAGAAAGGTCCTGCTGATGTCCTATGTCAAAGGGCTCCCAAACACCCGGAGCTCAGCAGTACAACAGCAACGGTAAGGTTCCATAGCCACATCAGAATACATAGGAACTACATTTCCCATGGTTCCTTACAGTGGAGGCCCTGCTGCCAATGATGTCAGATAACTTTTAGAGAAAGGAGAAAGTGTTGTGGGGGTCTTGTGAGGAGGGTGGCGAGACCTCAATGCACCCCGACTCTGTTGTCCTTCCAGTGCCATCATCAGGAGTGCAATGGAGCCCATAAAAGGACTCAGAAACGAACCATTTGTGTTTCTGCTGATTTAACATCATAATTTTACCCCAGCTGATTCATTAACAAAGGAAAGGAAAGAGGGTGTCATATGGCTCATCCATCACCACTGTGCATGTTGTATGTTCATAATAAATATCCAGAGATTAAGCCCTGTGGAAGGTCATAAAAATGAAACTGCCTCCCCACCACCCCACCCCCAGTTCAGCCAACCTGTGATTGATGCTGCTGTTATTCCTGGCTAGATGACAAGACATTGTAGCACCCTCTGGTGGAAGACAAAACATTTCTACCGTTTACGCTGCAATGAACCTGGAGGTTGTTCATAGTCACTACAGTGTACTCTGTGGGATTTTTACTTATCTAATGAGGCTTCTTATACAGTCTTATGTAACACAGGTAAGCAGACCCACTAGATGGAAGTGGTAGATTTCTTCATATCTTCTATTGAACTCTCCCTTTTTTGTCCATAGTGTGTGACTTTACCCAACACACTTCTTTCTTACAGGACTGCCCTGCAAAGTCTTCTGGAGCTTCTAGGACTAGGTTATGCATTATGCCAAGTACACCAAAGAGTAGGTAGGATCTCAGCACAATTAGATCGCCTGCTAGAACAGAAGTCTATGATGGCAAAGAATGTGCCCACCTCTTCTTAGAGCTAAGGTCCTTGTGGGTAGGTGGAGTTGGGAAGATTCCTGCACCTTAGAACTAGAGTTGTTAGCTACTCACCCAGAGGCTGTGACTATAGGCTGAGACCCTATCTGCCTGCAGACTGCCTCGCCAGAGTGGGGCATGCTCTGGTTATCTCCCGCTTGGACTACTGCAATGCGCTGTACGTGGGCTACCTTTGAAGGTGACCCGGAAACTACAACTAATCCAGAATGCGGCAGCTAGACTGGTGACTGGGAGTGGCCGCCGAGACCATATAACACCGGTCTTGAAAGACCTACATTGGCTCCCAGTACGTTTCCGAGCACAATACAAAGTGTTGGTGCTGAACTTTAAAGCCCTAAATGGCCTCGGTCCAGTATACCTGAAGGAGTGTCTCCATCCCCATCGTTCTACCCGGACACTGAGGTCCAGCACCGAGGGCCTTCTGGTGGTTCCCTCACTGCAAGAAGCCAAGTTACAGGGAACCAGGCAGAGGGCCTTCTCGGTAGTGGTGCCCTTCCTGTGGAATGGCCTCCCACCAGATGTCAAAGAGAACAACAACTACCAGACTTTTAGAAGACACCTGAAGGCAGCCCTGTTTAGGGAAGTTTTTAATGTTTGATGTACTACAGTATTTTAATATTTTTTTGGAAGCCGCCCAGAGTGGCTGGGGAAGCCCAGCCAGATGGGCGGGGTATAAATAATAAATTATTATTATTATTATTATTATTATTATTATTATTATCTTTGACGTCTCTGCTGCAGAAAGATAATTTTCAGGGACCACACCATGCAAAAGCAGGCAAGAGCTGGGGGAGTGAGAAGTGGAGTGCTTTCAGCTTCAAACCTTTATCCGAGGAATTACACATTTGAACATGCCTCGCCCCAAGACTATGTTAAATCAATCTCAGGATCCCTCAGAAACTGTATAGACACAACCTCTGGGAAACCATAGCTCATTTGAAGGACCATAGCTCAGTAGTAGAGCATCTCCTTTGTTTGTAAGTGGTCCTAGGTTCAATCTCCAGGCAGGCCTGGGAAAGACTCCTTGCCTGAAACCCCAGCGATCCACTGCCAGTCAATCATAGACAGTAGTGCACTAGATGGGTCAGTGGCCTGACTCGGTATAAGGCAGCTTCCTATGTTCCTTCCTCAGAACCACTGCTCCTCATAATAAGCCTTGCATGTTGATAACTGCTAAGTCTAGAGCACCCACCCTTCTGCAGATGATTTCAGAATGAAAGAGGAATAGATACCTGGGAATTTGGAGAGGCAAGTGGGACCTCCATCAAAATGTGTACTTCTGAAAACCATTAGGGTTCCCTTGAACTTGCGTATACCTCCCTTTGGTGCATGGGCAGTGCCAATTTGATTATGTAAGCAGTGACAGTCAGTGCCAAACACTGAAGATAGAGAGAATGGTGTGTCAATTTTGTGTGCATTCACTGCCATCTGGACCAGAGGCAGGAATTTCCTAATCATAGAATTGTAGAATTGGAAGGGACCACAAGGGTCATCTAATTCAATGCAGGAATCTTTTGCCCAAAGCTTGAACCCTCAACCCTGAGATTAAGATCCCTGGACCTGGTAAATGTTCCTATTTATAACTTTTCTGGGTGCTGTGATGAAATATTGCCAGTCTCTGTTCCCATTTTTCAGGACTCAGCTCCTTCTGCAGGGCCGCTGGATGTGAAATCTTTTAGTGGGTGGATGGATGGATCTTACCTCTAATGCACAAGCATAAATGCAAGTGCATGTGAGCCCTCCGGCACCATGCAGTGCACAGCTTGCCATTTCAGACACTGCAGCTGCTAAGGTATGTTTTGAATACTTGGAAACAGATTGTAAGACAATTATGGTTCCCCCACCCCCAAAGTGTATCTTTAACCAAAAGAACAAAACATCCTTTCGGCGTTTAAATCAGTGGATTTAAACATGAATGCAAATGAATTCAGCATATCGCAATGAAGTAAAGAAAAAGCCTTCAATGGTATGCAGAAGTTGATAACTCAGGGATTGCCAAGTGATTCTTGATGTGAGAACAGTGGCACTGCATCCCTATTTTTGTCTGTGAGATGTTGGTGGATATGACTTTCCTACATAAGAACAAAAGGAAATGCTGCTGAATTAGCCCAGTGGCTCATCTAGTCCAGCATTCTGTTCTTATTGGCTGACCAGATGACGATGGGAAGCCTGCAATCTGGACATGAGAGCAACAGCAGTCACCCCACCTGTGATTCCCAGCAGCTGGCAATCAATGACATAATGCCTCTGACCATGGCGGTGCCATGTGTATGCCATGGTATAGCAATATTGGAAGGAGACCACATGAGACATTGTTCAGAGATTATGATGATTAATCATAATATTTGTTCGTTCCTGTATATATACAGAAATCTCAAAACGACTTAACAAGATAAAATACATGCTGGTAAAATCAATTAAGAGCCAGAAAATTTGAGCCAGTAATTTATGTGCAACACAAAATTCCTAAAATGTTCCTGGTTCAACACAATAAGAAGAGTAAGTCCTACCCAGACCCACTAAAAGATGAGCACCAAAGTAGAGGCTAATTTAACTATCACAGGCCTGGGTAAAAAATAAATAAAAATGACTTAGCCTGATACCCCCAAATAGACAATGATAGCAACAGGCATGTTTTCCTTGGAGAGCATTCCACAAATTGGTGTAGGCTGTGTGTGTATCACTGAAAAGGCCCATCCTTATACGGCCACCCTCTGTACCTCCCTCAAGTGAGGCACACCTTCTATGGAAGGGGCACACAGAGAAAGGGCCTCAGATGCTGAACACAGGGTCCAGGCTGGTTTAAATGGAGAGAGGTAGTCCTTGAATTATTGGAATGCATGAAGCTTTATAGGTCAAAATCAGCACTTTGAATTGACTCTGGAAACCAGAGCTGCAATCAGGTCACATTAAGTGGACTCCCGTAATGAATCTAATTGTGTACTCCAGTGGTGTAGCTCTGGAAATTCTTAATGGTTATGAAATGAATGACTGCCATGTGAAAACCTAGACCTGAAGTACTGAAATGTATCTAGTCAAATCACCAGTATCAGCTGGAGATTCCAAGCATTGGAGAGAGGAAGAAGCAGAAATGAGCTTTAAGAAGGATATTGACACACTGGGATGTGCCCAACAGAAGACAGCAAAGATAGTGAGTTCTTTGAAGAAAAACTGAAGGAGTTGGATCTGTTGAGCTGGAAAAGAAATGATTAAGATGGGTAATGACAGCCTTCTTCAAAACTTTGAAGGGCTGCCACATCTACAATCATGGAGCATATTGGTTTTCTGCTGTTCCAAAGGTAGGACCTATACTAATAGGCATTGCTCTTTTTTTCTAAAAAATGTTTAGGGGTACTTTCATTTTCCTACTCATATTGAAATACTGCCCTTTAATGAGGCCAAATTTAGATTCACAAAATGTTTGGGGTTATGCTTACCCCTGCCCCTCCCCCCGAAAAAAGCACTGGTAATACAGTAGGTTCACATTGTATCCCACCAAGTCTGACTCAGAGTTGACCCACTGAAATTAAAGACCCTAACTTGGTCATGTCCATTAATTTCAATGGGTCTATTCTGAGTAGGGCTAACATTGGATAAAATGCTAAGAAAGGGGATTTCAACTTAAACATCAGGAAGAATTTCCTAACCATAACAATAAAGATTTGATTTGCTTTCCTGATGGTTGCTTGACAGTGGAACAGAGCCGTCAACATTTCTTTGCTTTTAAGCAAAGAGTGAGTGGATCACTGCCTATCAGGGATGCCAGGGGAATGGGTTTTCCACATTGGCAGGAATCTGGAGGAGATGAATACCAAGGTTCCTTTCAACTCTGTGGTAGAATGGAGGAAGGAGACCACAAGAAGCATCATCAAAGGTATGAGTGGATAAGCACAAGGTGATGTAGCTCTGGAAGCTCCAAAAAAAGTTTGAGATTAATGGGTGCCAGTCAAAAACCCATACCTGAAGCTTCAGAGGCAGCCATATGTTGCATCCCATTGGTTCCAAAGGGTTTATTTTTCAGAAGAAGAAGAGGAGGCAAAACACTCATTAAGTTTCAAAAATATTGAAACATCTCCAATCTTCAATACCAGCTGGAGAGGACTCAAGTAAGGAAAAGGGGGAAAGAAGCAGGTAGAGGAGCAGAGAGAGAGCGTAGAAATAGTTTTCATTGGCTTCTTGTATTAGAAAATGGAGAAGAACATCCAACCAGGAGGAACTGTGAGAGATAGCTTTTTGTGATATTACTAGACAACCAACCAGAGAAGTATGGTTCTCTTACTTTTTCCCTTTTTGAGATAGCAAATTGACAGACCTGCCTCTACTGATCTCACTGTCTGTAGGCATTGCCCCCTTTACAGATTCCCTCCTTTCCTTGAACCCCTTCTACTAATTAATTGAAGAATCAATAGTGTATAAGTGCTAATCTCTGTGCTCTCTCCTCTGGAAATGCCCGCACGGCATGTGTGCAAAGCAGGGATGTGGGATGGAGAGAGCGTTTGGCTGGCAAGCTCCATCTCTCCCTCCAAATTTAGTTGTGATCTATATTCAAATGACAGTTTAATGAGCCTTTTCCTATTTCCAGAAACCTTATCACATCATTAAAGCATAGAAATGAATAATACATCTAGCAGTTGGATTAATCTGAACTCCAGACCTGATGCATCTTCAAAAGGATTGGCGAGGAAGAGAAAATTGAAGGAAGGGATGGAAGGAAGGAGGTTTCAGGGCACAGCAGAGAGGCTGTGGTGTCTGTTTAATCAAGCCACATAAATGCCTGCAGAGGTTTCCGATTCTTTTGTTGTATTATTGGTATTGGGAGAGGAGGAGGAGGTCTTCAACCTCCCTCCTTTCTGGGGGAGGCAATGAGTCAGTGCTTCTACTTCACTATGATGCAAGCTGACACCTCCTCAATTATCTGGCCAAGGGGGAGCAAAAGCTTTTATATTCTACTTCACTGCTGCTCTTGGCCTCCTGCTCCTCTCCTGTCTTCTCCACCCCCCAACAATTGTTTTATCTATCTTTGTATATGTTTTTAAAGAACAGCTATATGTACATTCTGATTAGAATATGGGGGTGGGCAGAATGTCAGTCCCAGCGGTAAAATGCAGCACCCCAGAACTTTCTATCTGGCCTCTTCCCAGGCTGCACATCCTCTCCACAGCATCCACTTGTCTTACTTTGCACCCCAAAAGTTTTTGTCTGGCTGAAATATGCCCTTGAACTATGTTAATGCCTCTTACTTCTCTGGATACAGTGAAGGGAGTGTGTGAAAAAACTAGCCTACTGTGCAGTCAAATTATTTGTCACATTCATTTTTGCCTTTTACCTCAACTGCTGTGACATGTGACACTTGGAAGGTTGCGCAGAAGTGAATATGGCCTTTGGGCTGAACAAAGTCCTCTTGTTGTTGTTTAGTTGTTTAGTCGTGTCCGACTCTTCATGACCCCATGGACCAGAGCACGCCGGGCACTCCTGGCTTCCACCGCCTCCCGCAGTTTAGTCAAACTCATGCTGGTAGCTTCGAGAACACTGTCCAACCATTTCGTCCTCTGTCCTCCCCTTCTCCTTGTGCCCTCCATCTTTCCCAACATCAGGGTCTTTTCCAGGGAGTCTTCTCTTCTCATGAGGTGGCCTTCAGGATCTGTCCTTCCAGTGAGCGCTCAGGGCTGATTTCCTTCAGAATGGATAGGTTTGATCTTCTTGCAGTCCATGGGACTCTCAAGAGTCTCCTCCAGCACCTTAATTCAAAAGCATCAATTCTTCGGCGATCAGCCTTCTTTATGGTCCAGCTCTCACTTCCATACATCACTACTGGGGAAACCATAGCTTTAACTATATGGACCTTTGTCAGCAAGGTGATGTCTCTGCTTTTTAAGATGCTGTCTAGGTTTGTCATTGCTTTTCTCCCAAGAAGCAGGCGTCTTTTAATTTCGTGACTGCTGTCACCATCTGCAGTGATCAAAGTCCTCTACTCATGGAATATAGAATAATGCTGGAAATGACCTCAAAAGCTATCTAGTCCAAGCCCCTGGAACTGGTCTGTGACCAAAATAATAAATTCATTCATTCAGTCCAAGCCCCACCCTGCCAATGTGGGGAATTCAACTCTGCGAGGTGACCATCCAACCTCTACTTATGAAAGTCTAGATTCAGGTAGGTAGCAGTGTTGGTCTGATGCAGTCGAAATAAAAAAATAATAAATAGTCCAGTAGCACCTTAGAGACCAACTAAGTTCATTCTAGGTATGCACACGAAAGCTTATACCTAGAACAAACTTAGTTGGTCTCTAAGGCGCTACTGGACTATTTTTTAATTTTTTATTATGAAAGTCTGTAATGAAGCATGGTCCACCACCTTCAAGACAGTCTGTTCCACTGTCAAAGAACTCAGTCGGAAAGTCCTCCCTAATATTTACCTGAAATCCCCTGTCATGTAATTTGAAGGTGTCACTTTTGGCCCTGCCCTCTTGGTCAACAGATGTTGACTTGTCTGTCTCCAGGGCACAAGAAAGAGGCAATGGTGGACATCTCTTGTCACCACTGTTCTGCTTGCAAGCTGACCACTGTACGAGACAGAGTACCAGACCCGGTTGATTGAACACAACATGATAGTTCCTCCCCATTCCATCCACTTTATTCTGCAGCAAAGATAAATAAAGACAAACTGAGTATCTCCTGTTCAAGACAGCATTCAAGTGGAGCAGAAGTGTCAGGAGGCTCAGGCGGTGGGATGGGAGAGAGAGATCAGAATCTTCGTAGGTATGAACAATGGACAGTGTGGTGGGACTACACTGCTTCCCTGAACTCCCTCTTGCTGAGTCACTGCTTCATCCTGGGCTGGAGAGGAGGTGTGGCAAGGTGGATGTGAGATCAACAAGGCACAGATGCTCCAGCAGGTGTCCCAATTTCCCCCCAACAATGTCAACCCTTCATGTTGATCATAGATAAGTGGATAGACAGACAGACCTCAAACACCATCGGGTCCATCTGCTGCATCAGCATGCTTGAGGTTCATCATCAAGATCGGCTTGCACACCTCTAATGAAGGAAAGGCCACTGAGGGACACCCCCCTTCTGAGGCAGTCTGTCTCACCGTCCAACAATTTGTACCCTCAGGACCTACTTAATATTTAGCTGATATTCCCTTTCTTGTAATTTGAGCCCATTAGCTACTGTTCCATTGCCTAGGTGACAGCCTTTGAGATATTTGAAGATGTCAATCATCATCACTATTTGAAGCTGTTAGTCACTCGCTACACAAAAAGGTCTCCGAGCGACTTGCAACATATTTAAGAACATAAGTAAAAAAATACATTATAATAAAAAACACATTTACAGAAAAAATATTTACACAGAAACATATTCAGTTCATAAAAAACACACAAGTAACCCCCAATAACAGCGCCAGAAAGCTTATGCAAACATTACCATCATAGTCCAACAAAAACCTGGAGGGGAGGTAAGGTTTTACCTGGCACCAAAAAATACATCACTGAAGGCACCAGGTAGGTCTCACTGGGGAGAACATTCGACAGATGGGGATTTCACAACTAAAAATGCCCTCCCTTGCCATCATCTTCCTAAAGAAAGACCTCAGGTGATGATCTAAGGGTAGAAGAGGTTCATATCAGGAGAGGTGGTCCAGAAAATGTTGAGGTACTGAGGCATAAAGATGGTTCAATAGGAAAGAAATAAAAAATAAAATAAAATAGAGGATTTGCTTTGATTTACCTCCATGCTGTTGTTTTATCACCATCCCTCTAACCTGCTTGTAAAGACCTTCTTACCATTGGAAACTTTCTCCATCTGTGACGCCAGGGCTTCGTATGCATCAGGTGTGTCATAAGCACTGGTCCTTCCAATAATTATGAGTTCCTTTGAAATTCAAAACACACTTTTTATTATTATTCCACTTTGAAATGGGGTTCATCATTCTGTTTTTCGGTTTCCCGAGTGCGAGAGAGGCTAACCTCCAGGCATCTTTTTTAATTAGCAGGGAGACAATGTGCTCATTCCTGCCTCCCTTATTCCTGCTTGTACAACACAGACAGAAAAAAACCCTTTTTATAATACAACAAGCAACCTCTAGGTCACAGCTGGTTACAAGAGAGGGAAAGAGGAGAGAGAAATGAATGAGCCACACAAACAACAACACAAGATACTTAATTAGATTAGGTCCAAGATGGGTTTATTCATTTACTTACTTCAAGATGTACCCAGTTTGTCCCGTAAGGGACAATTCCATTTTAAAAGCACCTCTATGTTTCACGCAAGCCAACCAGTCATGTAAATTCTGCCTCACCTGACCTGTGCTGAGGATCACCAGATGGGAGCACACTGCATGGAACCAGGCCCCGAAACAAATTTATTTGTTCCCTGGTAAGCATGGAGGAGAAATTCAATACATTTCACACTGAAAGGTGAAACTACATAATTTGCATTTCCTGAAACAATACCTAAACCAATCTGCAGTCATTCTATGGAAGCTGCACTTCTCTGAATTTTGCAGGGCAGTTCTCCAAGTAATATGTACAAGTATATATATACTAGTCTGGAGTGTGCATAGAAATGCTTATATTGGGGGGGGGACACATATAAAGATGCATCATATTAGGGAAGTTGCTTGCAAAAATAAGTATATTAGGCAAAACTATATACAAGAGAGACAGTGTGGTGCAGTGGTTAGAGTGTCCAGCTCGGACTCAGGAGACCAGGGTTCAAATCCCCACTCAGTCATGAAGCTGGGTGAACTTGGGCATTGCCTCTTAGCCTACACAATGTTCTTGTGGGAATTAAATGAGGACAAGGAGAACCATGCATTCTACTTTGTGTTCCTTGAAGAAAAAGATGGGATAGAAATGCTATATATGTATATAGTAGGGCAGTTATGGTACTTCTGGTTGCGTGTGCTTTCCTTCAACTTGAGACTACAACTTTTGAATACAGGTATCCCATAGTCTTTAAAAAATAATATCTCCCCCTCTCTGTCTGTCAGCATGAAAACATGTAGCGCATGGCTAAAGCAGGCAGATCAGCAGAGGTGGGGTGAAAAAGAGTGCAAGAGAACAGCAGGTGGCTTTGCAGCGCAGAATTATAATCCATTAACAGAGTTAGGCAGGGAGTGCATCTTCACTCCACGCAGTTTCTGTCAGTAGTAACCCACGTGGAAAAGAAATATTGAAAGAGAAGCTTTAATTCAGCTGATTTCAATAAGTACGCTTTGCATAGTGAGATCCAAGGTGGACTGTGCTCTTTTTCTTTTCTTTTTGCAGGCAGAGGTCCAGAAATACTGTAGATCTGATCTGAGAGGTCCGGTCCTACTCAGCAGGGGAATGGGGCTTTGTCTGCAGAACCCTATGACAAAACCCAAAGTCTGGTGTTGGAGGTAGAAGAAGACAACTTCTTAGCTGCAGCAGCATGGTTACAAGCCCAGGCTTTAGGGGCAAGCATGAGGATAAAAAGCGACACAACATGAGTGAAGGCAAGCTCATGTGTCATGCCCAGCTAGTTGCACCCCGTCTGAAAGGTGCCACTTGATTGCCAAAGTCCCGCACAATTGTTTCATCTCACATGGTTGTATTATTCAGACATACCCCCTTGCTGCATGGAAGTAGTACTGGAGTATTTATTGCTTGGAGGGAAATTCTCTTCAATGTATTATTCCCGATTTTTTTCAATATTGCTTGCAAGAATGTTCATCCATTTCTTGTTTCTTTTACCATCTGCTGCACCTTCTCATTCACTTTCTTTAATTAAATTAATTTGCCCTAAGTGGTACCATGCTGCAGCTAAATCTGATTGTCTATGTAGCTTAGTGATGTCCTGTTCACTGCCTGGTCCCTGATTGTCTAGGCTAGGGCCTCCTGCATGCCTAATTAAGCAAGCACTGCCTTCAGTCTCAACTGTCTCGACTGACCTAATTTGCTCTTAGTGATGTCATCATGTTGCCAAATCCAGGTGGCTACTCAGCCTTGTGGTGCCATCTAGGATGCTATGGGAACCCTGATTGACCGTGGTCACTCATGATGCAAATCCAGGAAAAAGGAAGTAGAACCAAGTGGTGAAAATTGTGGTAGCTAAGATAAATTAAAGAGGCTTTGCAAAACTGAATGAATATGTCTACATTGGACCCCAGTCACTGTTTTCAGCCTGACAAGTGGAAACTGGAAATATTTGCAACAGTCCAAGTGCAATCCAGAATAACCTCACTTGAAGGCTTTCAGCAAATCTCTAATTTTTATTATTATTCTTATTTTGCTCAGCTGCTCACTGAGACACAGGAAACAACGGTGAATTGCTCCCCAAGATCTTGTGTATGTGTGGGTGCAACTTTTTAAAAAAATGTATGAGCAACCACAGATATTTTGGGGGGTGGGGGGAGTGCAAATAAAATCAGGATCACAGCACTGAGGGAGGGGGTTAACCCCCTTTCTCCATGCTATTTTCCTCTTTAAAATCGCCCCACATCAAAGATGCTACTTGCCTGGTGGACGGGGAAAAACATCATGTAAGAGAGGGCTATGAATCAGTCTATTTTCCATCTGTGTCAGTTTCACATCTGTTCATTCATAAATCTGTTCCATGCCATTTCAGTGTCAATCTGTGATTTTCAAGGAATGTACAAAATGTACATTATTTTGCACGCATTTTATCCTAAAATATACATTGCTGTATTCATCTTATCCTAAAATACACATTTTATGTGGATTTTAACCTAAAGCATACATTTTTTATGTGCATTTGGTACATTATTTGAGCCAAGAAGTGTTTAGCAAAAGTCACTGGAGTGTGAAAGCCATCTGATAACTGCATTCTGCTCTGGGTATTAGTCTGGGAAGTGCAAACCAGGTCACGTCCCTTTAAAATACAGATGAAATGAAATCCTCAAGCATCCCTAAAACAAATAAAAGATGGCATTTGTGTGTCTATGGGTAGAAGACTGGATGAGCTTTGTGTTGTACGGTGCTTTTCCACAGTTAAAGTGCTCCACAGATGATCAATGACAACTGTATCCAACATCATGCAGGTTTTCAGAACTACTCTGCATGCTATTATATGACTCCATGTTTAAATACCAAAATAATACATTACAGTCATGATTGCAATTAATGAATTAATGAATTATGGATTCCAAATTGCAAGGTCATGATGTAACAACCTGTGAATGATAAATTAAGTGAATTATTGCAATTGTGAATTATTGCAATTGGTCAAAGTTCGCTGAAACTCTCTGAAGGGAAAGGGTTTAAATCCAAATGTGTATCGTAGGTGGAGAAAGGGAGAGCACTCAAATTCACTTCATCAGTTTGAGGAGAAAGCTCTTTGTTTTAGCAGCTGCAGCGATAAAAATCTAATTGAACAGTCAGACGAAAGCAATGCAAAGTGTGTTAACCTTAAATTCTCCAGGATTACATTCCCAGTTCTTTATGTAACATGCATTCAATGGAATCTTTAGTCTCTTCCGTCTCCTCTGTAAAGGCCCTACAAGTTGTTGCTGCCACATGGTAGCTGTCAGCAGCTCGCCCCCAAGACCCAGTGATATTTAAGGCAACATCTCCTATGTGTACATTTCCTATACTAATGAATATTGCAAATTACTAAGGGCTGTATCCAACCCTGTGTGAGTGGCATTCCACTCACAAAACAGGACGTACCCCTTCATCCCCTCTCCCTGCATACCCCTAAAATTTTCTCCATGGGGTCCCTTGATCCTCTAGAACAGATTTTGCAGGGGTGCAAGGGAAAGGAGAGGATGGGGAAAATCTGTTGCACAGAATTATGTTGCCTAAGTAGAATGGCAGCGCTGGATGATACAGCTCTGAGTGAGGTTGTCCAAAAAGCCTCCCCACCCTCAGCCATTATAGCCCTGAGATCATGACATGATTCATTTCACCTCTAGTCTCCCACCGTATCTGCCAGTTGAGGAGAAACATGAATCAGTGTTAATATTCCAAATGTCCTTTGACATGACAAGCCCCACACTTCATGGAAATGGTTCCCATTGCTGATTATTATACTACCAGTAGCTTGTTCACCTAGCACAAATCAGATGGGCCTGTTTGCCTTTCCCATTCTGCTCCCCGGCTCAATTCAAGGTGCTGGTTTTGATCTTTAAATATTAAAGCTTAGGACCGGAATATTTTAAAAAATTGTCTCTCATGCCCCTGCCCTGCTTGAGCCTACCCAACAACTCCATTTCTCTTCTTAGGCTCTTTTTTGGGGACTTATCATAGGAGCCAACTCCTAGGGGCTGAGGGGTCTTTGCCCCCCTCCAAATAAAATATTTGAGGGGCCGCACCCCCAAAGTTGAGGGGCATTGCCATTCATATGGTCCCCATGCAATGCGTCATGTGATCATTTATGTAGGGCAGGGCTTACTTGTCCCTGTGGCGATCACACAGGGTCCCCGGACGTTTAACGGTCTATTGATCCCTGTGCCACCACTGTGCTCGCTTCCCCGCTGCCACCAGCCAGTTACTCTCTGGTAAAACACTGAGTCCAGTCAGTTGTTAAAAGTGAACCAAAAAAACAAGTTTATTTTACAAACATTAACAAGTTTATGGTTTCTCAGATAATATTCTTGTCAGTATCTTAACTTTTGTTTCTTTACCGGCCTATACGTTCCTAATACCTTCTGACTGATTATCTCAACTGTTTGACTGACTCCTCTTAACAAGCACTCTCTCACACCAGTCTAGCCCAACCCACAGACTTATCTTGTCTTTCTCTTCTAACTCCAGACTGTCTTCTCAACAACTCTAACTCAAAAAACCTCTGTGCTTAAACCTTATACACAGTTAACTCTGCCCCCTGGGTTCCCACTGGTTAGTCATTTTACAATTAGTTAACCCTTTCCCTATGAACCCAGTATGATGTCACACACATAGGAGGACAAACGCCACAGTCCCCCTCCCCAATATTTTATTCAAGTTGTCACCCCTGTGACTTACATTGTATATACAGTATGTAGGGACTCAAAGAGGGTATATTTGGCATTCAACAACTGGAATAGCTCCCAAGAGAGATATGCTTGGTCCCATCATTGCTCACTTTTACAGGAATAGTGACTACAATTCTATTTCAGCAACAAGCTGGAATTGAATAGAAAGCCCCCAGTCTGGGGGGGAGGGGGGTGAGCTCAGTTGGCAGTGACACAAGAATAGGTCTGGCATCAAATGACCTTCCTGGCCTTCAAATTAGCATGATTTTCTGATGGCAAGGAGCAAACATGTACTCAAAAGATAGAAACTTTCTGCACTTCTAAAACTGTAGGCCAAATTCGTGGCTAGTGTAATTCAACTTAATATGAAGGAATTACCTTTGATGGAATTAATGACATTTTTTTCCTAATTGCCTCGGCTGTTGGCCCTATCTGGTGGGCTAGGTTTGAGCATCTGTTTGGATTTTGAAGCATCCCATTCCAGATGTCCCCTCTTTATACAGTGATTAGGACTGTGGCAGGTCTTAACACTTTCCTTCCCTCAACTGAGGTAGAAGGAAAGAATATTTTCAGTCATTTTCGTCCCAAGTCTTGCTTGACAGCCAGAACAGTGTGTCTCTCATACACACACACACACATATAAATATATATGACAAATGGTTTGGTTGTGTCGTAATCCACACATTTCCCTATGAATACTGTCTTTGTATGGAACACTAGAAAATCTGTCCAAAAAAAAGGCAGTAAGTTTGATATTGAAGGTATTCCTTCTAAGAATTCGGCATTTTTGATACCATTGATACCAAATGATACCATTTTAGTGCCAGATGATGTCTGGATCTGAAGGCTGGTTTGATCCTCAAGAGACAGGTGACATTTTAACATCTTTTGCATGCAGGTCATGGAGGTATCTTATATTTTAAAATGTAAGAATCTCCACTCAGTTTGCCCACACATTGCAAACCCCCAAGTACTCTCTCACTGGGCTGCAAGTTATATCCAACTAACATGTACTTGGAATAGACCCATTAAAATTAATTGTCCTACATTCGTCATCTCCATTAACTTCAATGGGTCTGCTCTGAGTAGGACTCATATTGGCTGCAACCCTTTAATTAACCCCCACAACCCTCACTTTTTTTGGTTGCTTTTCACTGATTTGATATTGCTTTGCTTTGTATTTTTGGCTACTATTATATTTTGTTATTGTTTGTATGTGTGTGTTTAATGATGCTCTGTTTTTGTTTTATAACCTTGCTGTTTGATGCTTATTTCTCCCCCTCAAGAATAGAAAGGATATATATATACATATTTTAAAAAGTGACTAGACAAGCAAGTGTTCACTATCTGTTGGTAAATACATTGCTCTCCCCACAGGAGGATGGGTTCAGATGAAATATTCACCACCCATCAAAGGTGTGTGAAATTCCTACCACTGCCCTTCAAAAAGAAATCCCTGCAGGTGTTTTGCCCAAGTGTGCAGTCAGAGGTGTCATAGTACAGCCATGTGGAGGCCTATACCACATGCCCATCTGAACATTTTAACAGTTGAAATAATGGGGACTTTCGTGCTTATGAGTTGCTCCCCTTCCCTGCATTCTGCGGTAAGACTAGTTCTTCACAAACCTTCCCCAAATATGCTACAACTGTGACACTCAGTAAGGGCTCATCTATATTTCCTTTTGCAGCACATTTCTAGACACAGATCTGGGCTTTAAAGCTCTGTGTCCGAGTATGGTGGGGTTTTTTTGTCCCAGACCTTTCCCTGTGAAAACCCGGCACAAACAAGAAATGGGTTTCTGTGGATGGCTGTTTGCTCCCATTCAGCGGTAAAATGAGGGTTTTTCCAGGGGAAATGCTTAGAGGGAAAACACACACACACAGAGAGAGAGAGGTGGAGCTTTAAAGCACAAATGTGTGCTTGGAAAGTGGTGCAAAAGGAAGTCTGGATGAGCCCAAAGTGACTTAGTAGCATGGAGCGGTTGCCAGGCTAATCCAGGATATAGTCCTGGCACTAGCTTCAGGCACAGCTAATCTCCCCGCCTGCCTCACCAGAGGTGGTGTGACATGGACACAGCTGCCAGTATTGGGATGGAGTGAAGAGGATGAGTGAAAGATAAGCAGCAAGGGATATTGTCAGAAGCCAGGCTGACAGGCAGGAATATCCCTGTTCAGCCGTTAAAAAACAAATTAAAGGAAAAGACCAGCTACATCTTCTCAGACGGGATGGTGCAGAGACCCAGAAAAACCAAGCTTACTAATTCTGCACCTTCATATCTTGTCATAGAACCGAACAAACATAGTCCAACAGCTCTTACAGCCTTGGTCCTAACCTTGTTTACTTAAATGGAAATTCAACTTATTTCAATAGGATTTACTTTCAAGAATGCACATTTAAGATATTTATTTGTTTACATCACCGGTAGACAATGAGGTGTCCCATGCATGCTACTGGACTACAACTTCCATCATCCTTGATCACAGCCAATGGCTGATGGGAGCGGGAGTCCAATAACATTTGGAGTGCACCATTTTGACAATCCCTGACTATCCTTAGAAGTCACTGCTGTGGGAAGAAACTTTCTTAAAATATAGGGCTGCCACCAATTAAATAAATCTTGGCTGGTTTTTTGCACGAGTTTTTGTTTATTTCTTACTTGATCCAATCCACATATAACTGCATACAAAATAATAGTTCTAATGGGATGAAATGCAAGATCGCTTTGTCCTTTGCTCGCTCCCAGGAAGGAATACCTCTGCTAAGATGATGCCTGCCATCTGCAGTGTTAACTAGTACTTGCATTAAGATTTTAAAATGATAATAATCTGCGGGCTGATTTTTCCTGGGCACCTTTTCAGTCAATCCAAATGTTTCTAATTGATTAATCTAACTGATTGATTGATCTAACACTGCAGCTGTAATAATCACAATTCTTTTCCTGTGACAATGGACAAAGCTCCATAGGGACAGAGAGAAAGGGAGGGGGAGTTCTTCTGTAATAGGGATGAAGGGTCTGTTATTTTTGTCTTGTGTAAAGAAGCTAATTCAGTCTCCATAGGGGATGAGAAAAGCTCTAAAGGATTTGGGCGTTATATGATCAGAGGGAATAAATGTCCTAAGGCTCATCTGCTTTATTTAATACTTATCCCAACAGACTCCTGCTGCTTCAAGGAAGCAATTTTACTTAGTGGTGCATATCTTACCAGGACAGGCCCTCCCTTTTACGACATTTTGACAGTTTCCAGGTTGCAAACATATTGGTCAGGAACGAATTTCAGGGGGCGGGGGAAGAGTCTCACAGAAATGAAGATTTGATTGCACATTTCAGAAATTTCAGATGCACAATCTTATGTTCTCAACCATGCTCTGTGACTAAAATGATTTCCCCACCTCTAATATGGGTCCTTCCTTCCTTCCTTCCTTCCTTCCTTCCTTCCTTCCTTCCTTTTCAAGTCAAGCATATCCAGGACCTGAATTGAGACACTCTAAGTCTGCATGACTGCAGAAGAGTAAAAGGGGACAGATTGGAGGAGAAAGGCCATGTTGCTGCTTTTCCACATTCTACCAAAACAGCCTGTCAGAACCTTGTTTTCCCAGATGTTGTTGGGCTATAATTCCCACCAGCCCTGGCCATCAGGCCATGCTGGCTGGGGCTGATGGGAGTTGCAGTGCAACAATATCTGGGGAACCAAGGTTGGAAAGGCTGCACTATAACATCACTTCTATGTAGCCCACTGGTCTTTCTTGACCTGGATTGTTCTCTTTATGAATACTTCTCATTAGGCTTGGGCATTTGCCTTGTCAACATCCCTTGTGCATTGTATGGTTGGCTTCAAAGTTTTGGTCTGTGCATATCCCTCTTTCCCAGACTGCCAGCTCTTTTGTTTGTCTGTCTCCCCGCATCTCTCTTGCTTTCTCATCACAGGGAGCTAGCCACCCGTCAAAGGAGTCCTGATGCCAATGCTAACCCAAAATTTCTCAAAATATTCATTTTTGGGGGGAAATTTCTGAATTTTCCTCTTTATCAACTCACCACGCTCTTGAGAAAAATGAGGCCACGTTACAGAATTTTCATCAAAACATTTCTTATTTATCTATTTTGTGTGGCAACCACTATTGGAAGCTGGTGTGATGACCTGAAAGCTTAGTTTGTGATGTGATCCTTTACAAGAGGCTGTCCATTCAAAAGTCTTTACTTCTCTTTCATTCTTGTGCGGTGTGCGTGTGTGTGTGTGCGCGCGCACACACACACACACGTGCACGCTAGCTCTTGCTGTGCTAAGTCTGTAAATCCATCAGTTTCCTGACTCCTTAACCTCATTTGCCCCCCCCAAAAAAACTTGAGCTATTGGAGCGCTTGACACATCTCCGGTGCACGAGTGAGAAGAATTTAAGAAAGCCTTTCTTTCCCTGACAACGAAAACTCATTTGCTCCTTTGAAAAGAAACCCAAACAACCTCTCTCTCATATTCAAGATAGGAGATGCAATCTCCCTGAGGGGAGAATGAGCAATTAATACAAGAAAGATTGCAGGAGCGTGTCGTCGCCTGGGTCTTTTGCAAAACACTGCTCCCATAAAGGCGCAACTGCGACCTTCGAAGAGCAATGGTGGAACACATCCCCAAGTATGGAACAGGTTTACCTGCAGCAGCACCCTGGACTTTGCAGGCAGAGCACAGGGGAGCCCCCCCCCCAGCCTACCCCACTGTATCTATTCAGCGAGCTCCATTTTCCCTGCTATCGTAAATTAATTAGGATAGTGATCAGCCAGAATTCATTAAGAAGCCTTTTTTGAAATGTAAAGTGGTGTGTGTGTGAGAAAGAGATTGAGAACATAAGCTAAAGAAAGTTGAAGCTCTTAGAGAGAAACAATAGAAAACCTAACAAACAACCATTTCCTCTGGCTGTGTCTTGGGCCACCATTCAATGATATTATGGATGGAAGAGAAGGAAGGTGCCTCTTGCAGACTATAGCTTTTATGAATAAATTGGTCTTTCCGAAATTGGTCAGTTTCTTTGTGGACATTGATTTATTTTTCCTGGATTTTCTTTGTGATTGTTATGCTTTGTTTTGCTTTGCTTTGTTTTGGTTTTCTTTCTGGATGGTGCCTACTGATGTGAAAAAATCCATCTAGTATTGCTGATAAATCAGGAGATAACCACTGGGGTCAGGGAAAAGGGGAAAAGAAAGAGAGAAAGAGAGATGGAGGGAAGAAAAGTCTTTGCAAGTTGCCACCCTGGTTTTGTCTCCTTACACATTGCCTTAAAGGAAATATTAGCACTGCTGAATGTGTAATTAGACGTGTTTCCCCTCAGGGCATGAGGGGGACTTGACTGTATTTCCTTGTTATCTGATCACAGCAAATGTAATTTGTGTTCCCTTTGAGTCTCTCTCTCTTTTAATTCCTCTCCCACTTTTGGATGGCAAGTCTCCGCTCAGCTGAGTAATGGATGACAGTGCTGGAAAATAGGACATTTTTCTTGTCTTGTACTCTCTAAACATTTCCAAGGTCAAGTGCACTAAGAGGAAAAAGGTGCCCCCCCCAACAAGGTGAGATGGGGTGCATACACACACACCTTATCTTATCAGATCTTTTTTACTGCAATAAAGTACTGTAATAAAAAAGCAAATTGGAGATAGATATCTTTTAAAAACTTGTTCATTATTTTGTGATATTTTGGGTTGATCCCAACAACCCAGCTGTGGAGTTTGGAATTTTTCCTTATGCCCACCCTCCCACATGGCAATCTTTGCATTTTGTGTACAGTGGTACCTCGGGTTACAGATGCTTCAGGTTACAGACTCCGCTAACCCAGAAATAGTACCTCAGGGTTAAGAACTTTGCTTCAGGATGAGAACAGAAATCGCGCAGCAGTGGGAGGCCCCATTAGCTAAAGTGGTACCTCAGGTTAAGAACAGTTTCAGGTTAAGAACGGACCTCCAGAACGAATTAAGTTCTTAACTCGAGGTACCACTGTATTGTTAATTATGGTATTGAAAATAGCAGTTGGCTCATAAGACCTGCCCCAGACCAACTGGCTGATGGTGAATAAAAGGACCTCTAATGAAGTGTACTCCATTATGATGAGTAGGGAATGTCTAGAGAATGAGTCTGTATATATGTAAGAAACATGGGGGATTCAATATGTTTCTGTGAATCCTTTGCAAAGAGGCAAATGGCACCACAACCCTCTCAAGTTCTCTGCCAATGAGAGCCGGCCCATCAGTGTCAAGGTTAGAAGGCACATTTGACCTTCATGACAACAGAATCCACAAGACCAATTATTTATCAATTGATTTTGCCATAGAATGGAATGCAAACCAGCCACTCATTTGTGTGTGGGGGGGCATACTAAGGTCCACTTGGAAATTCATCAGGATATGGAGCAAACAGTCAATGGGAGACTGTAGTTCCAACTATTTCACATGTCACTGCTAGTGGTTACTGAAGTTAAATGAACTTCAATAATCAGTGGGTGGAAAATATGTGGTCCTTCAAGTGTTTTTGGCTGAGGGGTAGTCAGAGATGATGAGAGTTGTAGTTGAGCAATATCTGGAGGAACTAGAGGTTTCCCATAAGTGAGGGAAGTAATGGCAGGGGGCACCTCTGTCCAATAATGAAATTGCTGAGTCAATAGCTGCCATCAATCAACAACTGCAGACTTCCACGATGCCAGTGAGAGATGTGGGAGAAATCAGATTCAGTTCATATTTTGACGGAAACCTACAAAATCCGCACTTCTCTGAACTTTGTGATGAGGTTCTCCAATCAAATAATTTGTACTAAAAGGTATGTATTAAGGGGGAAATTGCATTAGTGAAAACAGCACACAAAAAGGCACTGTATCGGTCAAAAGTGCTTGCAAAACATGTATATATTAAGAGAAATGGACACTAAAATGCTGATGGATTTTGGTGAAGACTTTTAAAAATGCAACCAGATGCAGAAATGTTGTGAAGTGAATTTAAGACTGGAGAATATGAGAAGCTGAAATTGACAGATTCATCCAGCCCTAAGTGATGTATCCATTTCCTCCAGCACCACCTCCCACTAATTTCTGGCAACGATAAGAACTCCCATCCCTCCTTGATCATCCAGCAGAAACTACTAGCAGTTCCTACTAGCATTCCACTTCACAAGCCACAGCAGAAATCCAATATGAATGCCAAACACATTACATTTATATCCATAAGCCATTATTATGTGCCTCTACAGCATTCAAAGCAGGTTGAGAACAGAAAATGATCCCAAATGTAATTCCAGGTTTTACAACTCCCTCTTTTCCTTTTGCAACACATCTAGTAAATACATTGTTCATCGCTAAGCAATTTGCCTTCCCAATCATTTGACCTTTAGAGAGGTTTCTCTAAAGTACAACACTTTTACTAGGTCACAATGGATGGGGACTCAAGTGAGCCATAAACCATATTAAGCTTTGAGTAATTGTACCAATAGGTCAGGGGTCCTGGTTTTGGCACAAAAGTTATCTTTTTTAATCAGACATGTTCTCTCTCTCTCTCTCTCATCTTGATCTGCCTAAGCTTGAATCCATTTGTGAGAGAAAGAGAGAAGTTTAATTACTGAAGGTATCTTTATTGGACTAGAAGTCTCATGAAAGGAGTAAACTATTATGGTATGGAAGTGATGATCTCACAGAAGTCTACAGAGTTCATGGGAAAGAACATATGGCTTCCATTTGGGGTGTTAGAGCAAGCGTAGTCTAATTAAAGGGGTCACTGTGGTTAATGGTTCACACATTGCAAATTAACTTTTTACTTAGCTTATAATAAAAAAGATCCATTCTGATCATTTTCCACTGCCACGGCTATCAGTAGTTTATATTTGTATGGAGTTCAATGATGAGACAAGTTTTGCCACATTGGAAGACATATCCTGAATGCCTGGTAACCTCAATACCATTGTTTGGGCTGAAGTCCCATTGGTTTCTATTCCAAAAATACAAGAATACAGAGAGTGTAGACAAAACACATACATCATATTCAGCTTGTCTTATCACCTTAAACAGCACTGTGATTCCACCCACCCATCCCCGAGACCAGTGTTGGTTAATATCTAGGTCATTAATTCACAATGTAAGGATACCACGCTGCCATCATTAATGCATGTATAAGTCCCACTGATGTCAGAAGGATTTATGAGTAAGTAAATGGTACATGACTGAAGCTTCAATATGCAAGGAATGGGTTTTTTATTATGGAAATCATGACAGAAATACATTTAGAATGCTTGTCTAGATCTCTCATGTGGTGCAATGGCTCAACTACTAGGCTTGGAAGGCTAGGATGAATGAAAACGTTGCAAAATATTTACTCACAATGGGTGGCCTTGGGCAAATCCCCTGTAGGCTCAGGCCATTGTAGCCTAATCTTTAAAAAGCCATTCCTGTTCATCCCAATACTGATAATGCAAATATTGTGTGTCTATCAACAAAGCGTGTGGTGCAAAGGCCTCTAGAACCCTGTTCACATGTGCATGTTCATGATTTGATGACAACAGCATTAAGTTGCTATTTACACATGTAGTTGATCCTCACCAAACAACATTGACACAAGACTCAGAAATGGGAAAGAGAAAAGATGGGGAGATCTAGACATAGCCATGAGCTTGTCTAAATCTCTTCTTTGTTTGGGGGCGTGTTGAATAGATTGGGATCCTTTGGGTTGAAGCCATTTCCTGACACTCCCTCCATATGCCCTCAAACCAACCTGACACTAAGATCTGTTCACATGTTATACTAAACACAGGTACCAGCTGTTTCTACAGATGTTCAAGTGTTTGTGTGAAAGAGTGCGCCTTTGTTGATTTGTGCAATTTCTCTTTGTGAATGCAGATTGTACACTTGTTGACTATAACATGTGAATACCCCTACCAGAAATGGATGATTCCAAAAAAGTCAGTTTCCCCCAGTTCCTCATTTTTCCTCCCTCTAAAGTTCCGTTTCCCATGCTTGTGCGTCAGTTTGCTATTGTTTTTTTCTAATGTACTCATGAAAATTTATCAGCATTTGAGTACCCATTTCTTCTCCTCTATATAAACTGTTGCACGCCATTTTGTTTAACATACACACTGTCAAAAACATTCTCTCTTCTAATATAATGTGTTTTCGTATGTTATTTTCACTAATACATCCATTTTTATGGACACCTTTTCCCAATATATGCAATTTAAATTCATTTTGAGGGTGGAAATCTGCATCTCAAAACTTGGGGAAGGGTGCGTTTGCAATAGTGGCATTTCGTTTTGCACATTGTTTCAGAAAGCTTAGGAAGGGTTGTGTGAACCAAACCAAATCCTCCCCCACCAAGATCAGAGCTCTGATGTCAGTAAGGACCATGGCTGTGGATGTTTCCATGACAGCAGGAATGGGAGGGGGTTACAATGCCCTTCCAGGGGCTGTAGGAATCCAACCTTCCAAAGCAAAATGTTATTTCACATTTTCTTTTCTTTGTTGTAATGCAAGCTACCACAGAATGACCCAGGTCAGTGATTTTGTTCTTGAATCTGTTCAGTACAAGATACAGTGGGTTGATTTCTTTGAATTTGTTTTGGCCAGCTCTGTTCATTCAATTCCTGGAAGTCAGAGGCTCATAATGGAAGTGTCTCCTCTGCCATATTTATGGCAGAAAACTAGTACAAAAGTGGAAATGGTATAATTGAAATTCACGTGGAAAGGGCCGGCTGAGAAAGGTTGAGCACAGACTGGTCTGGAAAGACCTTGAATGTAATGGAGCTACAGGATTTATCCATAGCCAAATTAAAGCAGCCTATATTTTTTATCATCAGTGTATATATGTATCTAGCTATCTAGCTATCACAGCCAATTCTCAACATTCTCTTTCTTGGCCACAAACTTAAAAGCAAAAATAAAGATGTATCTCATCCTAGAATCACACAAGGAAACCAGGTGGAGATGTGCAGACAACGATGAAAAGCTATGTAGCAGGATTGGCTCTGATTCAGTATAAGGAAATCTATCTACTTTGTTTTCTCTCACTTTCTCATTCCCGACTCTCAAGTCTGCACATTTCAACATCCATCTGTGATTTCTTTATTTATTTTTAAAGAGTCCTCAGTGTTCTACTGCAAATTTCTCCTAACCATTTTCAAAAAATGATTTTGCCGAATACAGATTTTTGCAAAGCAACTCCCCACCCACCCAGCCAAATATAATGCATTTTCACGTTGCTTGGGCTGAAGAACTGCATTGCTAAATTTGTCAAAGTGTGGCTTTTGAAGGATGGCTGTGTATTGTTCATGTATTGTTTTAGAAAGTGCAGACTGGGTAGGTTTGCCTTTAAAAAGTGAAGTGAATCAAATTTCTTCCCCCTATGCCTAGCTCTGATCTTGGCGACTGTTAGTGAACTCTATGAGATAAAAGCACTTTTCAGATATCATCCATACCTCAAAGGTACTCAACAGAAACAGACCACGTGACTGGGTCTTCTCCCAACACCACATACATCTCTGAGTCCAACCTCTTGGTGTTCATGTATTCAGCACAATGACTTGAAAGAGGTGCCTGACTATTCATAGTCATTTAACAGAATAGGAAACCCAACGTGAATGGGATCAATGTACAGTCGTACCTTGGTTTTGGCTCTCAAATGATCAAAACCTGGAAGTGGCTGTTCCAGTTTATGGAAGTTCTTTTGGAAGCTGAACATCTGACAGGGCTTCCACAGCTTCTGATTGGCTGCAGGAACTTCCTGCAGCCAATCAGAAGCTGCACTTTAGTCTTCAAATGCTTTGGAAGTTGAATGGACTTCTGGAACAGATTCCGTTTGACTTCTAAGGTATGACTGTATATAGAAATGCCTATTTGGAGACAAAGTATGCTTAAAATCATGCACATTGAGGGGAAAATATTTTCAAAATATTTATGTCTACATGAAGTTTCATGTAGATTATTTTTAATACACAGATTAATGCAGAAATTGGATAGAATGGGCTTATGAATGAAGAGATGCAAAACTGACGGAGTCTAGAAACAGACCGATTCATTCATCCACTCACCCATCCCTAATGACTGATGGGCTGACTTTTACTTGGTGGTTCAGAAATGATGCAGGCTTACACAAGAGGAAATAAATGCATCTCAGGACCTAAGTAGGCAATAGATAAAAATGCATGATCACATTTAATATTTTCTTTTTTTAAAAAAAATTAAACAGTAAAAAAGTAGATGTAGTGATCAGATCTGGAACACAACACATAGGATGGATGTCCCCATGAAAAGTTGCCTTCTTGCTATTCCCCTTGGGAGAGAAGCTGCCCTTTGTCAATGCTGTGATGCAAGGGGAATGGTTAACCCAGGAGACCTTGTTTTCAACATGATTGTTGCATTTCATTGTGGACAACCTTCCAGGAACTGCATGCCAGCAGTGAGCAGGACCAGAAGCAAAAAGTAGGTGGAGCAACAGAGATGAGGGTCACATCTGTGACTCTCATCTCTGTACAGCAGACTAAGTTTCAGACAGGCCAAAGTCATAAGTTTCTACCTCCACATAGCTCCCCATCCAGCAAAGCAAGAGGCATGATTGTAGTTCAAGAACTCATCCGAGGCAGGCAAAAGCACTTTGGGAGGTCCAGTGAGAGGTATGGTCTGGGGAGAGTTCTGAGAATCAGATGGAGAGGACCAGCAGGGCATGAGGCTCTGTATCCTGGGCTAAGGCCTCCACTTTGGACACAGTGATTCTCAATATGATTAGAGAGCCCCATTCCTGCTGTGTGTGTGTGTGGGGGGGGTTAACCCCCAGACAAGTATGTGAAATGAGATCATCACACATCTAACACACGGTCTACCTTGGCCCTGATTTGTCCTATTTGTTCCAGCTTCAAAATCTGGCCCAATTGCTGACTTCAGAAGTTTTTGAGCAGAATCCTACTCCCCCTTCCTTCTATCTATAATCCCTTATGTTAATTTAGGATTAACACTTCTTTGGTGCTATGCTGGAGAATATATGTGTCCTCAACAACAACAATAACCTGCTTTCTTCTTGCAGCCAACTCAGCCATCCAGATACCAGACTGCGGATTGCCCGGCTGTGGCATTTGGACTTTGCTGAACTGATCATTAGACAAGGCTGGTGCCCAGCAAGCCAAGGCAGATGGAGCTTTCGATTTAATCCAGAATGTAGATGCAAACAAGTGTGGGATATGTCTTATATATCCACAGCAGTGACACAAAGTGGACATTAAGAATAGATACTAACAAGCTGGATGGTGCTTTGAGAATGCATGAGCTCCTGTGAATTGACTTTGCTAGCTGCACATTAAACAGAAATGACAGGGCAAGAAGAAATGGAATTGCATGCTTGGAAGAGAGTTATAGGTTATAAATTGGAAAGAAGTCCAATTCAAGGATCTGCTTTATTCCAGCTCAGATTATTCGTTCGTCTAGGCCAGTGCTGTTTGCTCAGACTGGCAGAGGATTTCTGGGTTCTCAGGGATAGGTCTTTCCTTTTAATGTGAAATGTTGAGTGCTGAACATGGGACCTTCAGCATTCAAAGCATGTGTTGTACCACTGAACTGTGGTCCCTTCTCAAGTCTACCAAAAGGAATCACCTTCTCTGGAGGTTTTTCAGCAAAGTCTAGAAATAATTCCCCAGAAAATTATAAAGGCCTTATACAGATTCAGAGCATTTCTTCATCAGACCCTGCTATGTATTCTCTGCTGTGAGTGGCAGCAGAGGTCAGGGGAGTCAGACAAAAGCTCTTCTGAGCTCCACATGGGCCTTCCAGGAATTGAACCTAGGAGACAGGCCTTCTGCATTCAAAATGTATATTGTTCCACTGAGTTATGGCTCCACCCTTTAAACCATATTTGGGGAACCATTAGCATTCCATTATGTTGCTGAATCACAGTTCCCATCAGCCCTAGCAAGCAATGTCAATGGCCATGGATGATGGGAGTTGTACTTCAGCAACATATGGAGGGCCAAAGGTTGCTAACACGTGTTTTAAATGTTTTGGTGGAACAGTGACTATTCATTTGAAAGTTGCATGTTCTTTCAGATGGTTGAGAATCCAGGACGGAAGTATTAACATTAATTTATCCTCGCAACAGCCCTGTGAGGTAGGTTAGACTCAGAGATTGTGACTGGCCCAAGGTCACACAGTTAGCATCATGGTCAAGTGGGGACTAGAACCCTGGTCTCCCAGGCCTTAGTCTCACACTCTAACCATTACACCATGCCGGCTCTTTGGGAGTCATGCTTCAAGAAAACCTGAGTGAACAGAATGGGCTTGAGCAAGCACCTGAAGGATGGCAGCATACATACTTGCCTAATATTAAATGGGAGGGAGTTTCACAATGCAGGTGAAGCAATGCCAAGAGGGCATCAGGAGAATGCGACATAACTAGTCCCAATGAGTGTGGTGAATGGGCATAGGCAGAAAGGGTAAGGCATTTGCCGCTCTGCTGTAGTCTGTAAACTGGATTCTGTAAACTGGGCCCTGGATTCCCCTATTACAAGGGAAAGAGGTTAAAACAGATGGCGGGAATAGCTTCTTCCTCATTCTTGGATTCCATAATGTAACTGAATCCCCTGCCATGTATATTGCTCTCTCTCATATACCCTGACTCCTTCCCAGTATATTCTTGCTGCACTCTGTCAAGGTAGCGCTGCCAGTATATGTCATTTTAAGCTTTTGCCATCTGTTCCAGCCCCCAATTACAGATTCACGGTGAACATATGACAGCTGAGATTACTAAAAAGTAAAAATGTACAGCTATGAGCCAAGCATGCAATTTAAAAGCCGGTGCACCTCGTTTTTCCTCTTTTTCTTTTATCCCACAAAGCATAGATGCAAGAAGGACTTTCTAATTTCAACAACGGGGGGGGGGGGGTGAGAATGAAAAAGTTCTGCTTTTCTTTCTTTCCTGCCGCATCTCCAAAGATGACATTTCCCATGGCAAAGTTTCAGACCTGAAGGAGAATTAGAAGAGCGACAGCGTTTTAATAAAGGATTAGTGAAACGTGTTGAATGCAGCTATGCAACAAGGAGATTCTGAGTGCTTTCATATATTCCTCAAGTAGCCTGCATGAAGCAATATGCTTCACTCCTTGAAGCCTATCTCACAGACAATACCACACCTCTGTTCTCAGCTCAGGTTAATCACCTGTTGCTTGGGTAGCCAGATGCCACTTCCAGTGTTTTTTTATTTATCCTGTTGTGTATGTGTGTGGGTTTTATTTTATTTTTTTACAAACAAAATGTATATTGGGAGCTGCTCTTGAGAAATTGTCCCTTAAGATTGGGAATAGTTTGCAGAATCTGGCCTGCTTATTCCCTTCTAGAACAGGGGTTCCCAAACTGTAGTCAATGGATCACCAGTGGTCCACGAATTTCATAGAACTGTCAAATTGGAAGGGATCCCCAAAGGTCACTTAGTCCAACCCCCTGGAATGCAAAAAGGCCCGCAGCATGACTGAATTGAAAATTCACGTGGATTGTAATTGTATTTTCATTATTGCTTCTTGCATTATTTCGTTCTGTTGCAATTTGAATTCTGTGAAATTCCAATTGCATTACGATAAAATACAACATAAAAAATAAAAGAAGCAATGGAAATACAATTAAAAACCACACAGCATCAAGCACAGTGCATTATAAGGGCAGGGAAGGTGGGCACAATGTATTACAATTGCAGCCACCATGATGAGCTCCAGGCTGCAGTAGTGACTTTTGTTGTAGAGACTCTCCAACGTACAAAGTTAGCCTCCCAGAAAAATCAGCTGCATGTTGTGGTCTGTGAACCATGAAAATGGGTGATTTCACTCAGCAGCAGCTGCAGTTCTCTACACCAGGGACAGGAGCAACATTTGGCTCTTCAGATGCTATTGAACTACAACTCTCATCAGCCCCAGCAAGCACAGCCAATGACCAAGGATGGTGGAAGATGTAGTTCAGCAACATTTGGAGAGTCAAAGGTTCCCCATACCAGGTCTACATTTTTATTAAAGACTCAGTTCCATTGAAATAAGTGAGAGCATGTAGGATAGCACTGTGGTAAGAGAAAAGGTTGCCAGGTACTTCTCTTCATAGCACTGCCTTATTTGAATAGAAAAAGCCTCACCTGGTTTCTATGCAACTCTTACAAGAGCCACCGGAAGTCCTGGACCTGGCAAACATCAATCCAGTACATTTTTTAGACTTCCCTCTCAGCCTCATTTGTCTCTATGGACCAAGACACTTTTGAAGTGAGCCTCTCAATTCTGCAGGTGGATAAACCACTTTTTGTAAACAGCTTTGCAATCAAGTGGGGTGCAAATTTTATGAAATAAATACAAGTAAAGACCTACTGGCAGATCCCCTGCCTGAAACCCCAGACAACCACTGCCAGTCAGTGTAGACAATACTGACCTGGATGGATGGTCCCTTAGTATAAGACAGATACCTATGATAGTATGTTGTACAGTGGATCTGCAAATTTCAAAAATTATATGTATTTCCCATGGAACATTTGGATGTTTTCCTCCCTCCCCCCTTTACTTGTTGAACTAGAAAGTAAATTGGGAGGATTTTTCCGGAGAAAACCATATATGCCAAACTACATAAAATTTGAAAACACAGCGTTCCACAGACATTCTCTGCTGTTCTACAGGCATTTGCCGTTCAGTGCCAAAGG